TGATTCACACGACGAGGAAGATTGATTGGCAGCATTGCATTATTGTACTCCCATGTGTTTGATTTGACCATTGAAAAGTCAAAAGTACAATGCATCTATTCCACATCATCAATGGCATTCAGTCACGTGCAGGTCACGTGATGAAGTGTAGTGAGAGGAACATGTTTTGCTTGTTTGTCTCTTTTTTACTCTCTCTTTCTTTTTCTTTTCTTTTTTCGTAATTTGTATAGTATTTAATTAGAAAAAGAAAATTGAACAAAAATCATGGGTAAATCTTTTTTTATATATAATCTTTTATTTATTTATTTAGATTTTAGGGAGTGTAATTTGAAGTGGAGCAGAGAAGGCAGAGAATCCCACTAATTGCTTGTCTCTACTAAGGGACATTAGAATCATTCAACTCCTTTAGTTTTCTTTTCTTTTACCTTCTTTATTTTTTTCTCTTTAATTTAAACTTTTATTGTTTGTTTGTTCTTTTTCTTTTCTATTTATTGCTTTATTCCCTTCATTTTTTTTTATAGGTGCAGTCTTTAATTTTTTGGTAGAGAGGACAAAAGGGAGTGATGATAAGTGAGGTTTAGAACAATCTTTTATAAAGTAATTGGGTCAAATATTGAACCAATGAAGGTATCCCATGAGGATTTTTTACTATCTTATTATTTTCATTATATATTTTAAAGTATTTAACCTTTGAAGCATTTGGATGCCACCAAGGCCACATGGGGTGGTGCCTTTAACCTTCAAAACAAATAAAATAATTCATGGATTTGAAATATGAATAGTCAATTTTGTAAGCAAAAATTCCACTCTATAATCTAAGTAGATCATAATTTTGACTTGTTCTTATGGCAGACATCATATTAACAAGAGAGGAATATTCTTTCTTTTTCTTTTATTCACATGTTTACTTCTTGATATTTGAATAGTGATATAAGAAAATTATTAATAATAAGAAAATGATTGATAAAAGAGATGATATGTGAGTGTCTTCTTATCCTATTGAATTTTCATATTATACGTATAAATTTTGAAATTGACTTATCGCTTTTTGTATTTATCTAAAGCGTCTGGTATCACATGAAATGCCACTCAAGCTTTATCATTTTGGGTCTAAGGGGGAAGGATTGGATTAAAAAGGATCCATATTATATGTTTAACGAATAATTGAAAGTAATTGTGAATTAAACTTAGCATATGATTGAGGGATGGATAAAGAAATTGAGTAAAATATTTATCCATTGGTTATTGTATGTTCCAATGAAGATTTGGAGGGCCTGTTTATTTGGGGATCAAAATAATGAGGGAAAAAGTATTTAAAAAGCAAAATCAACTCCATTTTCAATTGTCTCACTTTCAAAGGTTTGGTCCTTTAACCTTTTTCCCTTTTCTCACTTTTGTTACATGTAATATCATCGATACTCATTGTAAAGAAAAAGGCAGAAACATCTTTTGCTCCTTATCTTATATATATACATTGGTTTTCCCAACCTAAAACAATCATCGACGAAGCACTAGCAATTCGTGAAGCTATGGAAAAATACAGTGAAAAATAAATGGTCAAAGGTATAAATTTTATCTAATATAAAAATTACACTTCGATGAATATGATACTGAAAGAAAATGTAATTTCATAAAAACTTAAGACTTATAATTTGTTATGATATTTGGAAGTCTGTGAGTTTCTTTGAATGTAAGTAATATATTTATAAATCTTGGAATAATATATTTGTGCCCACATCACAAATTATTAGCTAAGTTTTTTTGTTTCGTTTTTACCAAAGATTATTTGGGTTTCTATTTTTCCTAGTTGGATTATAATTGATATTGCTACATTACTCAACTCTTTAAGATAGTTTATTGCATTATATTTATTTATTTATTTATATTTATTAATATAGATAAGTTGGTTGTTATATTAGTATAGTTGAAATCTTAAAGAGAAAATAGGTTCGATAATTAATTAATATGATTCAAACATATTTGATCTCTAGTTGATTAAAATGATTGTTTCTGATCCCTTCATATATATAATATGTATATTGGTCGGTATATAAAGCTATATTACCACCAAATATGAAAAAAACAAATATAAATTTATATAGTAGATGAATAATTAAGTGACGAGGCGACAATTATAATATTTTATGACAAATGTTAGAATATTTACGAATAAAAGACTTTTCTTAATTAAATGAAAATTTAGTATGTTTAATTAAGTATTACAAGAGCTGAAATCATAATATATTAATTACCAAGGTATAAAAAGTTTATTAACCCTTTGAGAAACTACATAAATATCAATAATCAATAAAAATTGTCATGAAATGATAAGTATTCTTATATAATCAAACAATTTATCCAAATTCGAACTTATACTTTTTGGAAAAAAAAAAGAGTTACATGTGCTATCCATATAAAGAAATTGGGACACGTTTGGATCCAGAAACAGGAATAGGTAAAGGGTAAAATTAAAGTCATCGAACGAGGGAATAGAATGGTCCATAAACCAAACAATAGAACAAATTGGAAAAGAAGTTAAAAACAGACCACTGAATTGTGTGTCATAAACTATGATAAAGAAAGATTGTGATGTTTACATAGAACTACAATTGAAAAAACAAAGCAACTATGCGTGCAGAGTGGTTCTTATATTTTGTTTTTATTTTATATATAAAGTTATAATTTCACAATGAGTCAGACCTAAATGTGTACATAAACATTGATAATTCATATAACTAATTTTATTTTGATCGGAATTGAGGTGGAGTTGTAAATTCTCTTGTTTTCGCATACATTTATACAAACAAGCATTTGCACAAACATATTGGTTATTTGCATTGACTCACCTTAATTATCCTGAAAAATAGTTGAGCTTACTCGTTTTGTTATGCCTCTTATCACTGTCACATAATTTCGATGTTTTAATATTGTTTTCTTTAACTTCACTAGTATTTTCTATACAATTTTCAAACTCAAAAAAGATTGATATTGCATGTTAAAATCGTACTGATCAGTGAATGTTATTTTTACGTTGGACACACCCTTGCAGTGGACTATTCATCAAGTTTACAATGAGGATTAACCATTTTAAAATTAGAAGAAGTTTAAAAGACCAACCAGGAAAACAAGTTCAAAAGCCCAGCCCAAATAATAAGCGAAGTCCATAAAAGAAGTCGAGTCCATAAAAATCATAACGAAATCTAATTTGGTGGAATTAGAAATATCAACTTCCATATATAGCAAACACAAAATTTATATTTGTATGTAATAACTATAGTTTGTATAGTTACTCTCTATAGCAAACATGCTATGCTTATTTCACTATACATATATACAAAAGAAGCTAGACTATATATACAATAGAAGCAATTGTATCATATGCTGGCTCCTCTTTAGAATTGTATAATTTCTCTGTCAGACCGTTTGTATAAATTGTTGGCAGCCTTTCGTTTGTATAAATCGTTGACAACCTCTCAATTCAATTTTATATGTTTGTATATCTGTATAAAATTTGAATTTGCATACAATTTAATCGATATAAAATATTTGTATATCAAATATCTCTCTCTCTCTCTCTCATTTTAAACAAACATAAATTATGCATTGTATTTTGTATAATTTGTGGTTGTATAAAGCAAGAAGGAGAGAAAAGCAAAAGAGAACTTGGTAGGGAAAAATTTATATTGTATAATTATAAGGGTATATGACAAAAATATATGTATTTGCATGTGTATATACAATTTTCTCTCGCTTTATACAGACAAAAACACAATTTCTACATTTCTGATTGTATAAAGTGAGAGAAGCGAGCAACAGAGGGAGAGTGACGAGCGAGAGTTTGAGGGAGAAAGACGATTGACAAACAGTTTATAGTGCACAATTAAATCAAAGTATAATTTAATTTGAATTAATTGTTTGTCATTGTATACAATTTTTCTGATTAGAAATGATCAGTTTTTGCCACTGTTAGTCTCTGTTACTACTTAAATTAAAATATAATTGATAATAGTTATTTTCTTAATATAAAAAAATAAACATTTAAAATTTTACAAGTGAAATTCTTGCTCATTACTATGAAATCTCAAAAAAAATGTTGAAGTTTCAAATATACTACTTTAGATGTATAATGAGATAAATGACATTTTTTCATAAAGTTTGAACTATTATGATTCTAATTTCATAAATTCATCATGTAGTTTTGGACTGCTATATTTTAAAATTTAGTGTTCTTTGGATTTTTTCAAGTTTTAATTTGATAAATGTTCAGAGTCAGGTATAATTTCATATTTTTTTTGTATTTTAGCTCAAAATAGTTATATCCAAATATTATTTAATTATTTTTATGATAATAATTAAATCTTGATCAATAATCTAGAAAATAGTATTACTAAAAGTTCCTCAATTTCTGTTATGACTTGCGTTGGTCAGTTTTTGTTATGGCTGTTGCAATGGTTTGAAGCAACTATTGGTCTCTCTATTGTTCCATTAATAATTTACAAATAACTCAAATCAACCAATCCAATTTGTTAATTAATTAATATTGATTATCTAAATTCAATGTTAAAAAGACGATTCTAAAGAACATGTTTAAATGTAAGAATTAAGAAATAATCTCGTTTGCAAGATATATGAAATCAAAGTATTTTAATATCTGTCATATAATTTCATAAATCAATCTAGAAAGGGCTTATTGAGAAATTTTGGTAACTCATTGATTCATCTCATTTGTGAAATACGCTTTTTAATTTTGAAACTGAATCAGAGCAAATATAAATAACGTAAAAGAAAAACATTCCTCGTCATTAGTATCTTTGCTTGCGACGACTGTGACATCTCCAAAAAATTAATGACTGAATAAAAAATACAATACTGATACATTCAAATTTTTCTTAATTGTTTAATTGTAAATAGCCTCAAAACTATAACACAAAAGGATTATGTCGAACCTAGATTGAGATATTGATTGGGGATTTTCTAAACTAATCAAATTAGGAAAATGATTCTTTTTTTTAAACAAAAACAAAACAAAACAAATGTATTACTTTCCGGCCCAACTCCGGACACTTTCTCAACCCAATTACCCCAACAGCTCACGACGGAACCCTTGAATCTCCAATTTTTTCAATTATCGAAACCCCTAATATTTCAAAACTTCGAAATCCCAATTTCGTAGACTGAAAACCTAATTGAATCGTAATGGCATCGCAGAAGAAGGAATCGGAGGGAATCGCTCTACTGTCTATCTATGGCGACGACGAAGATGAAGACATGGAAGAAGTTGAAGAAGAACAAAGGGAAGAAGATGCACAAGAACACAGACCTGAATCACATAACTTAGGCTTTACAATGGGCACAGAGTTCCAAGATGATAGCAAAAAAGTTTTCGGGTCTGATTCAGGTCGGAGTTCGACTCCTTCACCTCTAATTCAACAACTTCAGCAACAACAGTCTGTTGAAAATTTCACACCTAGCAAGGTTTCGAATTTTGGTGTTGGTTCTACCACTACGACGCCATTAGCGTCCGTTTCTTCCCCAAATCCTCAGCCAATGGAGATGAATTTGAATGTGAATGTGAGTAGACGAGCAAGGCTAACTATTGTTGATTATGCTCATGATGAAGTTACCATGTCACCGGAGCCTGAGGTACTTATTTTTATGCTCTATTTTGAGTTGAATTTTGCTTTTTATTTTTTATTTTTTATGCTTGTTCAAAACGGACTGAAAAGAAGATGAGAAAATTAAGGATTTTGGCTTTTAGATTATGCTAGAAAACTCATGTGGGATCCTATTAGAGAGTTATTCATGTAATGAACCTATGATTTAGGAGTTGATGTGAGTTTTTCCTCTCTCTGTAGGAAGGAGAAGTAATGGCTAGTGGAAGAGTCATGTATGGAGCGGAACTTCAAACTGCTAGTGGTATGTATGCTTTATGTTTTCTCTATTCAGCTCCGCCTCGTATGCTGTTTTGTTGTTATGCCCCTTGCTTGACTGCTTAGTTAAATTGACCTAGGAGTTATGCCTGGTATGGTTACATTGTTCAGGATAGGCAACTATTGTAATTCAACCATTTTTTTTCTCATTCCGCCATCTTAATTTTGTATGACTGTCTTTCCTAGGGAGTGGCACCTCTCCATTTACAGAAGCTGTTTCTTTTATAAATGTGGTGCCCACGACAGCTTTTGTGCATCTCGACTAATTTCCCAGGATAGGCGAAAAAGCGAAATGGTGTGATAGGCCCATGGGTTGGATCGTAAATTGGACCCTTCTATTTACGACCTTGTCAAACTGAACACTTAAAACTCAATGAATCACAATATTTTAAACACCTCTGACCATTGACCAAACTTATGTCAGCAATAAATAGCTGAGTTGGAAATGTACAATGTACACGCGGATTAAGGGCGTGAATTGATACTTTTCATTATAAATACACATATAATTAGGAATTTTCTGTTTTTAAAGAAGGAAAATAAATTTCTCCTTCCTCTTCTTATTTTCTGTAGAGAAAAAAAAATCAGGTAGCGCCGCCCTAGGTTTCTCATCCTCCAAACATACAAATTGAAAAGAAGAAGAAAATTTTTCCCATTGAAAGCTCAAATCAGAAATGGGTTATATGAAATCATATAGAAAGAAGTGTACAAATCCCTTTTTGGTTTGAATGGTTCTTTGGACTGATTTATTTGTCTTCAAATAAAAAACGGGTTATATGATTTGAGCATTTAATTCGAAGATTTCTTCTCTCTAAAATTGAAAGCTCAAGTTACAAGACTGTACGGGCTGAATCGAGAAACCTGATAACTCGGCTTCAGGGTGGGACGACTGAGCTGTTTGACTCGTTGCTTGGACTGTTATAGGAAGATGACAAGAATGTATTGATTGCAATAGCTCAAGGAATTATCCCGTTGCTGGTCCGTTTACTCGATTCGAGTTCTTCGCCAGAGATCAAGTAGAAAATTGTGAGTGCTTTTTTTGTCACAAAAAGGGGTAGGATGGGAGGTGGATTTGGATTTTGAGGGGGTGGGGGGCTAGAGGTGACCAGAAGAGAAAGGGGATGGGGAAAGGAGGTCCAATGAGAGAAATATAGCATTTTTAACATATTATTTATTTTCTTATGTTTAATTTACGTGGATTGCGCGTGTATTTGGTTGTATTTTCACCAACCATGATCAAGTGAGAAAAGGGTTTACAATATTGTGTTTCATTGAATTTAAGTGTTCAGTTGACAGGATCGTAAGCAGAAGGTTCCAATTTACAATCCGACCCAAGTATAAGGGCCTATCAAACCATTTCACCCCCTCCCCCCCCCTCCCCAGGATACCTGCAACCTCCCACTAACAATAGCTATCAGGTAACTCTGCCACTAAGGCTAGAATAGATGGGAAGAAATCACCTAGTGTTTTTTGTCTCTGCTGGTTCAATGCTCTCAACTCACTTCATTGATCACTAGGCCACACCATTGGGTGCCCATTTACTGAAACTTTTTATAATCTCAATTTCCATTTTTCCCCTTGTTCATGCACTCCGATAAAAATTGATATGACTTGTTGTGGACTCCACTTGATATTGAAAGAAAGCAAGTCTGGCAAGATACTTTTGGTATGCATATTTAGTTTGTGTCAAAATTTCTTATTTTTCTTTAATTCCCGTATCCAATCAAATAATTCAGAATGAAATGGGACAAGGGAGTGTTTTATGAGCTTATCCAAAGAACATTGGTGCAACTTTTGGGTTGAAATAAATCATTTTTAGCTGGTTAGCTTGTTATTTGTTAAGAAGTTGACATTTACCGTTTTTGATCCATATAATTGATATTTATGTAAAGAATGTCTTTCATATTTATAAAGTTGATGAGTTTTAAAAAATATTTATAAAGTTGATGTATATATTCCGTAAGAAACAGGATTGGCTAATGTAACTCCAATCATCAAAGTCAAAACTAAAAAGATAACTCTATCTTTTTACTTACCATATAAATTTGGAAGTTCAAGCTTAAAATCTTTCTTTTTCTTTTCAGTTGAATTTATGGAAAAGGCTTCACCAGCTCTTCAGGTTAGAACACCTAGTGCTCAAACCCCTCCTCAGTCAGCTGAGCCAACTGAACAATTGGATGATACTATGGACTTTGCTGTTAATGAAGGACATGGAGTTGCTGAAGAATCTGTTATGGTTCCTGCAGAAGAACAAAAAGAGTTAGATCTGTTGGAGAAATTTCTTCCTCCTCCACCAAAGGAGAAGTGCTCAGATGAATTGCAAGTAAGTGTGGTGACAGTAGTATTTTTCAAATGGATACTAGAAATATGCTTCCATAAAATGTATATGCACTATTCTGAGGTTTCCGAGTTTTCTCTAATAGATGTTGAAAGTTGAAGATTGCATCTTCAGTTTTGTTTCTGTAGTGTACGTTTAGATGATATTGGTAATTTATATGTGTCTTGCGTTATATGTTTATTTTATGTCTTTTAAAACGACTTTGCATTTTATGCAGTGCCTTTCTGTAGTAGTTTGTGAAGGAATGTTTACATGTGGACTGGCTGACGTTGAACTCTGTGCTCGCTAAATCTCTCTCTCCTCTCACAGACAGAATGTCTCAGTCTATCTCTCCCTCTCACTCAGACACACACACGCACACACGAAGTTTGCATTTCCTGTAATTTCATCTCTAGATTCTTATCACTTCAGATACTGACAATTGTTTGTAAAAGCTGTCTGTCTTCAGTAACCGTGGCATTGGATGCTCTGTTATCTTTAACTGATATACTCGGGAGCTTAACTTGCAATTTACGTCCTCCTAAAGTGATCCGTTATAACTTCTACAGTGACTCTGATCATTTTTGTCTTCCTTTCCAATTTTATGTGAACCTTACTGTTTATGTATAAGAAGGCCTTATGGTGTTTACCCTGTTGCATAGATAATTGATTTGGCTACTTTGCTTTCAATTGTTACACTGTTTTCTTGTTAATTCATTCTGCAGGAGAAGATCATGAAATTCCTTGCTCTGAAGAAGACTACTGGCAGAAGCTTTAATGCAGAAGTACGCAACAGAAAGGAGTATCGGAATCCAGACTTCTTGCTGCATTCAGTGACTTATCAAGATATTGACCAGATAGGATCTTGCTTCAGCAAAGACGTATTCGATCCGCATGGATATGACAAAAGCGACTTCTATGATGAAATAGGTTACTAGCAATAAAATTTCTGTCTTCTGTCTATCTTTCAGCTAGATATATCTACTTTTGTGTGGCATTGGTTATAGAATGTTTAGACAGTGTTTGCTACTTCCGCTGTAATGTTTTTGTTAACAAAATAGTTCATTCTGTGAATCTGGAACGGTAACGATGGATACTTATGGATCTAATTGTGTGTCACAAGGATTCTGACGGTGTGTAGCTAATACTATACTTCCCTTTCCAACTTATTGTTTGGAGCTAGTGTAAAGGATATCTAGTTCTTTTGAGTTTAAGCTTTCATGAAATTTGGTCTGTTTCAGTGCAAGAATAGTTTTCCTCAAATTTATGGATAATTTCTTGTCTTTGAAGTATATCTTATCATACTTTATCCAAAAGAAATCTTGACTGGAACATTTATTTTGTAAACAGAGGCTGACTCAAAGCGTGAAATGGAGAGAAGGGAGCAAGAACGGAGGAGGAGTCCAAAAGTTGACTTCATATCGGGAGGAACACAGCCTGCACCGATGGTTCCTACACCAAAAATCAATCTGTCGATTCCAGGTTACCCACCTTTCTTCCTCGAGTCAAAATTTCTGTTGAATTGGTTGAGTTCCCTGCATCACTTTGCTCTCTGAATTCTTTGCAGGGATGGCTCCTGTTGCTGCTGGTGCATTACCGCCCACTGTAGATGTTGTAACTCGGGATGGTAGACAGAACAAAAAGTCGAAATGGGACAAGGTTTTCATCTGCAAAGTCTCAATTAATTGCATTGATTATAATTTATCTCCAATGTCTCTTGTATTGTAATCTTCAATGCTACCTTTTCAGGTGGATGGTGATCGGAGAGACCCTGTTTCTGCTGTTGGTGCACATGCAGCACTTCTATCAGCTGCTAATGCTGGTGCTGGTTACACTGCATTTGCGTAAGTTCATTATGACTCCCATTTTTAACTGTATTACTTAGTTATTTTAGAATTTCTTTCCATCACGCACCATGGGATGGGAAAGCCTTAGATTCGTAGGGTGGACTTCTAGCTATCTAACAAAAATGAGACTCGTGTATTACTTTCTGGAAAATAAATGATGTCGAGTATGGTGAATTAAAAACGAAACATGTTGTTCAAGTCCCATATCTTTTGATCTTTTACATATTGTGGCGACCCATAGATTCCTCTAAGATATACCTTGTTGGAAGTGTGCAAATGTTTAAATAGGTTGAGCACCTGCTTTGACTGACCTAGGGGCGCAACTTCAGCCCATATAAGGTGAAAGGAAACCATTTAACCTATATTTATTTATATGGATCACTCATATTTTCTAAATGGGTAAACATGGGCTAATCTATTTTAACTTTTAAGAGCTCATACAAATATGCACAAAATAGGTAAATTATGAGAATCCATATAGACCCATAGATCATCGACTCATAAGAAAAATTCTTCATCGCATAAAAAAATTATTTATTTTTATAAAAGAACATTAGGAGTAGGGTTAGAGGTGAGGGTGAAAAAAATTTAACTTCTTTTTTTGATTTTTTCTTTCTAAAAAATTGTGGGTGGGTGAGGGTAGGGTGGAGGTAGGGGTTTATGAAAAAAAAATTAACTTTTCTTTTTTGATTTTTTTAAAAATAATTGTAGGTGGGGTCGGGGCAGGGAGGTCTGCAGGGGATTAATTATTTTTTGAATTTTTTATTTTTATTTAAAAAAATTTGGGAGTGGAGGTACGGTGGAAGTGGGAGTGGAAGCGGTGAAATTTTTTAACTTTTTCTTTTGAAGTTTTTATTTTTCTTTAAAAAAAAATTTGGGGTAGGGTGGAGGAACATTTTTTTTTTTTGAAATTTATGTCAATATTTTTTTTTAAAAAAAATGGTGGTGGAGCGGGGATTGGTAGGATGGACAAATTTTTCTGATATTTTTTAAATTGAAAATTGGGGGTGGGGGATTGGGTACAGTGGTAGAAAAAATTAATTTTTTTTTGTATGAATTTTTTTTTTAGTTATTCTTTAAGAATAGGGGTGGGTTGGTAGGAGTTTGGCTTTAGGAGATCAAAGTGGGTTAGAACCATTTTACCTAAACCATACTTACTCATATTTTATGTGGGTGAATTGTAATCCAATCCATTTTGGCTCAATCCATATTTAATCCATCAATTCCGATCCAGTCAAACCATTTGCCACCCCAACTTAGTCCGACCATTTGCCAACCCAACTTTGGCGTTTGAGCAAGATTTGAGAATACTGGAAAATGGTTATCTAGCCTCTTATTTATCTGTAGAATGGTGAAGTATTGGTTTCTTAGGAGATACTCCTTTAATGATATTGTATGCTCTTTTCTTTTGGTGAAATCTTATCCTATCTTTATGTAGGTTGACTGGTTGAGGCACTTTTCCTGCCTAGCTGTTGTATTCTTAATGTTTGTAACATCCATTTTCTGGTGAAAATTTTGACAAAAGCATCTCATTCTCAAGTTCACATGGAACTCACTATACTCCCCTGACAAAAACATCTCATTCTCAATTCATAAGGAGTTTCCCGGCATTTGTGCTGTCTGTGAAATTAGTAGAGGAAAGAAAAGACTTCCTATACTTGGTGGATAGAGTTACTTGGTATATATATGGATGGAGGTAGGAGGTATAACGTGGAATTAGTTGAAGTGCGCAAGAACTAAAAGGAGTTTCTTTAGATTAGACACACTTCTTAGGACACTGCTATTTCTATTCGGGGGTGGGGGGGGGGGGGTGGGGGTTATATTTTTGTTTTAGTCAAACTTGTAGAAAAAAGTGAACTTCAAATTACAGGGGGAGGGGGGGGGGGGGGGTTTACATCCTGAAATACCAGTCTAATAGCTTTCACACTCAAATGATAGGAACAATCCATGCTGTCTAATTCATTCACACACACTTGAACTTCTATTTAAGTTTCACTCCATATTGTTTCTGTGGGTCATGCAACCCTATCCTCACTGAGTAGCTAGTACTTAGGGACTTCATTGAAAAATGAGATTCACGTTTCACCTTTTTATTACCCTTTGAAGTCCAAAGACCTTTTATCCTCGTTGTTTTCAGATGTAGACATGTTTGATGTTTCATTCAGCAGAGGGTGGAGTGATGTTTAATTTTTGTTTTCCACAGGCAACAAAGACGTCGGGAGGCAGAAGAGAAGCGACCTAGTGACAAGAAGTTGGATAGAAGATCTTGAAAATCTAATTAGACATGCGACTCCTGAAAGCTATTGACCCTTTCCAACACATCCAGTCATGCACAAGTGTTGGCACAAAGAAAGCAGTTAGAGCAACGGGTGCCTCATTTAGAAAGACAAATTACTGTCAACTCTGAATATTCCCATATACTGTATATACCCAGTTTTTGTTTAGTAGTGAAGTCGATTACAGGTTTTAAAGTTAAAGGAGTGTAGAGTTTTCAATATAAAGCTGGGGAGAAAAAAAATGTACAAGTCTTCTTTTGGCCATGTGCGCCATAGATTGCAAATTATTAAGTTGTACTCTTTGACTAGAGTCCTAAAAGAGCTGAAATTTTTTTAATGTACTTTGAAAAGTTAGAGATGCCTTGTTTTGTTGATCCAGTCAAATTTCATTGTTGAATTTATTGTTTGTAGTCATTCAACCGAAAGCGAGTTTTTTTTCTCAAAAGGAACTCTTTAACGCCAATAAGACCCTACCTTAGTCTTGTCTTCTCTTGTGTATAGTGAAATGTTAATCCAAATTTTATGACCATTTTTTTTCAAAATAGAGTTTGAATTCTACTTGTGCTTAACGTAGTCGTGTGCTAAAAATTTCTAAAGTATAATTTGATTTTTACGTTAAGGGAACAATAATGGTTCTTGCTTGTGCGTACGTTGATAATATATTTGTATTTCCATTTACTTAGTTCTTAAGAGTTTTATTTAAATGAGAGTTTCGGTGTATTTTTAATCCACGTACTTACTTATAGGCTGGCTGGCTTCTTTTTCTATACATTAAAAGTAAGGGGTAATATTGTAACCCTATAATGTAAAGGAGCTTTTTTGCATTTTAAATTGGAAAAGTGTGGAGCAATCAATGGTTTCCAATGTCACACACACTTTCTTAAGCTTTACCTCCACATTCTTTTTGTAGGTCATGCAGTCCTGTCCTTAATGAGTACACATAGCCAAATAATAATAATATTTGTATCCAATATTTGCATCATATGAATGATAAGTGTGATTTACTTAGTAGAATTCCAAGAAACGATTTTTCTTATTGGCTCTTCGTGGCGTGACTAACTAAAAATCTCATACTCTTATCATCAATTACTCTTTATGTTTGTGACACTGCTATTAATTAATTAGTAAAATTATTTTTTTTACTATCTATATATGTATGATATTTATTTTAATTTTTCAACTTCCATTTTATCATCATTCCAGGTGGATCAATACTCAAAAGATGAACTACAAATGAAGAAAGACGTGGAAAAATAGGTCTGACTATAGTAATTGTGAGATTCCAATTTTTAATTGGAAACCCTCACTAATATTTATTTCTCGCTTAGGCAACTTTGTGGAAGTTCTTTTTATCTGGACTATTAAAAACAAGAGTTAATTAGTTTTTATTATAATTTTTTCAAATGCACGTTTATTTTTTTTTTAAAAAAATGAAGGCATCTATGTAGTATTTAAGTAACTATCCTTTAGACACTAATCGTACATACACATTAAATTCACTTCTTAATAAAAATTGGACATAGAGATACGTGATCTGATCTGTACTATTTTAAGTAACATATTTTTCTTTTTCAAATTTCACAAAAAAAAAATAAACATATTTTATATTTGAAACTATTTATCTTTTCATGGTGCTTATTCCAACCTACTTTGTATGGCACATTATTGTGGGAATATAAGTGAAAATATAAAAGGATATGTGATTTTCTTACCATAGAAAAACTATATTAACGCTCTAACTCATTGTTGACGCAAGTACTATTAGTATTGCATGTATTTTTTTAAAAAAATTCAACTTTCAATCATACACGACTATAGTAAGATAGAGGAATTAAAAGTAATCTTTTATTTGTTTTAGTTATTTTTTAATCGTTATAAAATCAAACCTCAACAAGTTGGCTCTATCTTTATGAATGTTTGTTGGATTTTTATATCAAGTAGTTATTATGGTGAAGTAGACACAAGAGAGTAAAATCCCCCAATTTTCGCTGTATTTGCAGGGAAAAAGTTGAGAAATTTTGAGCCCAAAAAATATTATAAATACTTTAGAATCATAATCTTTTAATATGAGTAGTAAATAGGCTCGAATATCTATGCTACTTTTTATTTATTTTGTCTTTGTACATAAAGAGAGACGTTGAAGATTTTGTAAGTTCCTTTTCACACGTTGGTCTTACTCGGACACACTTCTATTTATGTATATAAACTTAAAAAGAATCTTAATAATGTAATGTTTTTTAGATTCTATTTTCATCAATTATTTAATATATGTCTTGCACTTTTCTATTCCTTTTTTTTTAATGCTTACATTTATGAGGATTTTATTTCAGGTAGATTATATTCAATAGTTTATTTACAACTACCATATGCATATAAAATGCAAAAATTCTTTTCCTAATTAAAAAAATACACACCTCTATAATTCTTACTATTTGCTTATTATTCTTTTAGACATGAAAATCGACTCATTTGAAAATTTTCTTTGTAGGCTTTGTTATCTAGTAATAATAAATTCGACAAATATGTCTTTTTTTTTTTTAAATTATGAGTTGAGCCTAATATAAAAATCACATAAAATAGGGATATACAAGGAATAACATATTAATATTTGAAAATTGAAATTATATATACAAATAAAATCATAAAATTTCTATTTTAGTTTATAGCAAAAACATGATTTCATCTATCGTTGGACAACGATATCAATCTAATTCAAGAAAAAATATAGTATACCAAGAATAGGTCAAACATTACAAGACATCCTCGTACTTGGCTACAATGAGTTGCAAGACAAAGATTTGGTCCATATATTGCGTCTCTTATCAAATCAAAACTTATTTTTCTCCCCAGCAACATATACTATACATTTAAGAAAGAATTTAAGCTTTATACCTGTTAAAGAATGACAAAAGTCTCACATAGGTGATTAATGAAATGAGTTGACTCTCTATAAGGCTTGGGCAATCCTCCTCCCTTTGAGCTAGCTTTTGGGGTGTGAGTTAGGCCTAAGACCTAATTTCACATGGTATCAGAGCAGGGCCCGTCTCACCCGATGTTGGGGTCCCCAAAATTAAAATTGCCCACGCACCAGATGCTAAGCACTGGGCGTGAGGTAGGGTGTTTAAAGAATGACAAAAGTCTTACATCAGTGATTAATGAAATGAGTTGACTCTTTATAAGGCTTGGGCAATCCTCCTCCCTTTAAGCTAGCTTTTGGGGTGTGAGTTAGGCCTAAGACCTAATTTCACAAATACCAATAGGTAACTTTCTTTACGCCAATCATATTATTTATAATATAATTATCGGACAATATCAATGATATACTATATAATAGTTTAATAAAAAATTAATAATTAAATTATTATTGCAACACGTTAAAAGTCACATATATTATTCAAACAATTTTATACGTTTTCAACTAATTATGCATTTATTACTTATTTCATCTTTCATGCTGTATAAGATAATATAATACTATACTAATTCTTTCATGTATATTAATTATGCGAGTTTCTAAATTACAAACCAAATATCATATTAATTTTATATATGAATAACTTACTACACAGATAAAATATCTCTTTACTAGCTACCAAACGATAACTCCCTTTGCTTTGTCTCTGGATCGACTCAATCAATGAGAACCACAGCGAAATGCTTCTGGCATGCCAAACAAGGTAAGCGATCGATTCTCTTTCCCAAAGTCAAATGGAAAGTACAAAAGTCACAAGGTGTTTGAGTTAAAAAGATGAAAAATTAAGAGGGTGCAGAATAACAAAAATGAAAAAAGAGAAAAAGTACACACAGCACAGCAATGACCAGAAAGTAACGGTAACATGAGGTGTCTTTGGAAGTTCCTTAAGGGGTATTTCCGGAATATGAATACTAAAAAAAAAAGTTAACGGACACTTTCACACACAATCTAAGACGAACAACACTAAATAAACCTTAAATTTAAGTAAAAATTCACTTTCAAAGAGTGGGTTGCAGGTGCTGCTCAATCTTCTTTTTTTTTTTTGGGCTCAATCTCTCTCTATATATAAAAAACAGATACATATCACATCAGCTTGACTTCCTCTCTCTCTCTCCAATCACCTTTTTTTTCTAATTTCATTGTCGTTGCTTGTTTACAGCCTTTTACTTTGTTATCTCATTGATTTACTAAAACCCCACTTGGATTGAATTAGTATACATCCTTCTTGATTCATTTTTCCTGATACCCATTTGAGTTTATAGTTGAAAAAGATTTGTTTTTTTAAAAGCAATGGCAGCTCCTCCTAAACCTGAAGAAATTAGTCATCCTCCAATGGACCAGCTTCAGGGTTTGGAGTACTGTATAGACTCAAATCCTGCTTGGGGTATGAAAAAGATTCAATCTTTTTTAATGAATGACCTTGTTTTTATCATTACTGTTTGATTTCCTTGTGCTTTTTTTTTTTTTTGCATGAGATGAATCTGTGAGAACTGAATTTGATGTGTGAAACAGGGGAAGCTATTGCTTTGGGCTTTCAGCATTACATCTTGGCATTGGGAACTGCTGTTATGATTCCTTCATTTCTTGTTCCTTTGATGGGTGGAGATGATGTAAGATAGTTTTGCACAACTTTTCATGTTTTTTGTTTTCTTCTTATGCCTAACTTCATGTGTTTTCACTGATTGGAATTTGAAAAATCATTTAACAAGTTTTTCATGAATTAAAAAGAAACAAACTATTTACAGTCAAAAGAATCAACTGCACTTTATTCACGTGACTTGAATTTCAATGAACTTGGAGAAAGAAAAAAACTACTCCCTTTTTCAATTTGTTTGTACGGTCTTGACTTCACGTGAAGTTTAAGAAAGTATAGAACTTTTCGAATCTTCTGATCTTAAACCTGTCACGTGGAAAGTTGGAATTAAAAACAAAGACAAAAAAGAAAGTAAGGCATACAAATTTAAAAAGAGTAAGTATTAGTATGAACTAAGAAACTACTGGTTTTTGGTTGAAGAATCTGAAGATTGATCATGTTGGTTTTTATGATTTCTGATTTTGATGTGCTCTTGTTTGGTGACATTTTTTATTCTTAAATGTCAGGGTGACAAAGTGAGGGTGGTGCAGACCCTGCTTTTTGTTGAAGGAATCAATACACTCCTTCAGACTTTATTTGGTACCCGTTTACCTACCGTAATTGGAGGGTCATGGGCTTTTGTGGTACCAATAATTTCCATAATCCATGATTCGTCATTGACAAGGATTGCTAATCCTCATGATGTAAGTAACTGTGGGAATAGTAGGTGATTTTGTTGATTAACTGTTCAGTATGATGTCTGTAGTTTATCGATCAGCTTTATCACAAAAGTGTCATGCTGCTGATAATAATGTAGTCTGTGTATGATTAACTCAATATGCATCCATTTTAAAGCAAAATCATCTTGTTAATAGAATACCCTTCAATGTAGATTCATGATTGTAGCGTTTTGCTATAGGGCAAGGTATATTTGCTCTACACTGTCAAAGAAAGCAAATTTGTTAACCATTTCTCGACTTATTAATATTCTTTTAGAGAAAGCTTACAGTATTTCTTGATTTTTGTTTTTATCCTTACTTGTAGAGATTCCTTAGTACAATGAGAGCAATTCAGGGAGCATTGATAGTAGCATCAAGTGTTCAGATAATTTTGGGCTATAGTCAACTCTGGGCTATTTGTTCCAGGTGCAAATTATCCTCATAGATGAACTATTGTTCACTCATAATGTACTATTTCTCATGTTTATGGCTTCAACATACTGACTTGCTGAATGCTTACAGATTTTTTAGCCCAGTGGGAATGGTTCCGGTAATTGCTCTGGCAGGATTTGGTCTTTTCGACAGGGGTTTCCCAGAGGTAGGTTGAGGATCATCTACTGAAAACAAAGATTATTGCTATCCATTGTATCAATGATGTTGTAATCTTGGTCAGCTTACACTGATTACTGCTTTGTGCTTGTGCAATTTTATAACAGGCTGGACAGTGTGTGGAAATTGGTGTACCAATGTTCATTTTATTTGTGATCTTTTCTCAGGTATGATACTTTTTTTGACCTTTAATTTGACATTTTTTGGTCCAAAAATGTGAACTAATTTCATATGTTTGGCCAGTCAGTCTTCTTTTACAATGACGAGAATTATGAAAAGAGTGCTATTTCCAAACTTTTCTGTCATCTGTTTCTTAAGTGTTAAATGCTAGTGAACTTCAAATGATTGCCTGATGACTTGTTCATTTTTTGTCCAGTATTTAAAAAACTTCCAGTTTAGGCAGTGGCCGGTGATGGAACGATTTGCTCTAATCATCACAATCACAGTTATTTGGGCTTATGCACACCTCCTGACCGCCAGTGGTGCTTACAGACATCGCCCAGACGCCACCCAAAACCACTGTCGCACCGATAAAGCAGGCCTCATTTCCGCTGCACCATGGTTGATACTTCATCTAATTACTTTTCAGATGAATGTTGCTTGTATATCTATCTAACCTGCAAAATTGTTGCCTTAGATATTCAATAGTTTTCTGTAGGGTTTGATACAGGACACATTTCAGTCTTGATCTTCCTCCTAAGTTTTAAGGATTAACGAAATTATAATCTCTACTCCACTTGGCTATTCAGGATAAAAATCCCATATCCACTTCAGTGGGGTGCTCCTACTTTTGATGCTGGTCATGCTTTTGGAATGATGGCTGCTGTACTTGTCTCCTTGATTGAGGTTAGATCTGAACAAAATTGATACCTTAATCATACTTTTTCCATTTTGTACAGCGCTAAGTCTTACTCTTTTCTCTTCAGTCAACTGGAGCATATAAAGCAGCATCTCGTTTAGCAAGTGCCACACCACCCCCAGCTCATGTTCTGAGTCGTGGTATCGGCTGGCAGGTTTGTGCAGTTATTTGTGACAAAACATGCTGTCTTCAGAAATTTGTATATGTTTGTGACATATCAATAAGTAGATGATGCTAACAGCCCAAAACTTCTAAACCTTTTCCAAATCTCACCTCTAAATTTTGTTATGTCAAGTGATTAAAACAAAAATTCACTTCAGGTGGATATCGATAATATGTAGATTCATAATTACCTTACATCGAAAAAAGATAATATATTCATTCATCATCTGTGGTTGAATTCCTGGTGTCCTTTATAGGGCCTTAGTTGTACAACAATTTAAAGTGCAACATGGAACCTCGTAGGTCGGTAGTGCTTATGTGAGGACTTAAACAAGAAGTCATATAATTCTAAGTGCAGAAAAAGTGATGTTGGTTTTTGATGACGGAAGAGCCTCATATTTGCATGAAATCTATGGAGATCTACAGACTGATGTTGGAACTACTTTGTATTTTTTTTTGCAGGGTATTGGTATCCTGTTTAGTGGACTTTTTGGGACTGCTACTGGGTGTACAGTTTCTATGTTAGTAGCTCAAGTCCTATGTTACTTGTATGCAATGTGATTTATCTATCGGTTTAACATATCTTTTGTGGTTGACAGTGAGAATGTGGGACTTCTTGGAAGCACTCGTGTGGGTAGCCGCAGAGTTATCCAAATTTCTGCTGGCTTTATGATCTTCTTCTCTATTTTAGGTTGGTCATCTTCTGTGGACTCAACCAAACCTCTGAGAATTTTTCAGCTAGTGTGAACTTGGTTCCTCATAATCCATTTTTTCCCCCGACATTTGTAGGCAAATTTGGAGCATTATTTGCATCAATTCCTTTCCCAATATTCGCTGCTGTATATTGTGTCTTGTTCGGTCTTGTCGGTGAGCATCCTTAGCAACTCCACTCCTCACAACATCTTTCTGGAGATCTCTTTATCAATTTCCCCATCTGACAAACATTTCTTTTATTTCCAGCTTCTGTGGGGTTGTCATTTCTGCAGTTCACAAACATGAACTCAATGAGAAACCTCTTCATTGCTGGTGTTTCTCTCTTCCTCGGGTTGTCTATTCCCGAGTACTTCAGGGAATACACCACTGCTGCTTTTCATGGTCCTTCTCACACTAAGGCTGGATGGGTGAGTCAAATATATTATGATTAAGTTTCCGAACTTCAAATTTTATATGGAGTCATTAGTAACTGATCTGGTTCTGTTTTGGAAATATGCAGTTCAATGATTTTCTCAACACCATCTTTTCGTCTTCCCCAACTGTGGCTATGATGGTTGCTGTGTTTCTCGACAACACACTGGACTACAAGGACAGTGCCAAAGATAGGGGAATGCCATGGTGGGTGAAGTTCAGGACATTTAAGGGTGATAGTAGAAATGAAGAGTTTTACACCCTCCCTTTCAATCTCAACCGCTTCTTTCCTCCTTCATGATCATGTTTGCGATATATCTGGACCAGAAGAGGAAGGATGTGAAAGTGAAATTTGAGAAGAGTTTGATCTCAGGGTTGATCCCTTATGATATATTTGAATCAAAGAACAAACTCTATGTAGGCAGTTGTGATGAAATTCCTAGGAAGTAGACATCAGTTGACATGAATATTATTTTTTCATTTATTTGTAGTCAAAAATGTCAAGGCCTATTTTGGCATAATGAGAAGATTTTCTTATTCCTTACTCTGCTCCTCTGTTACCTTATTCCTTCCTAATTTTCGCGATAACAGAAAAAGTAAGAAGGAATTGCTATGAGTAATGTGCTTTTTTATTCACCAAAAAATAGTGTCACAGTATGCATGGGACTAACTTCCTATCTTCCTGCACTTTTTCCCCTGGGATATGGTACAAAAGTGGACAAACAATTCGAGTTGTTCAGGGAAAACTATGACCACCCTCCCTAATGCCTGCACATGCACTCTTTACATCTGGGGTGTCGATAAATGCTACGACCCAAACCTCTTACCTGCACTCTCTGACCTTCATCAATCATCTTTCTTATCTTCCCTTCGAAACTGTGCCATCCTATGGTCTTATTTCTTGACAAAATTGCAGAAAGCCTCTTCTTACTAGGCCTCAATGTGGGAGCATGACCACCACCATAATATGTTCTGAACCCCGACACCAGGGATGATAGCTGACTTCCTGAGTCTGTCATGGCAAATACATCAGATGTTGCACACGCGATGAAATCTAATGCTGCAAGCTGCATTGAAAGTGATAGCTTTTTTTGTTAAAATCATACATAAGGGAGCGTTTATCCCCATTACTTTAAATAAGAAACAGCTTACTTGAGAAGAAAAGTTTCTAAATGGAGCTAGTTCACTTGGTGTGAGAAGATCTTCCTTGGTCACTAGGTTCGGATAGAGGGTAGTTAAAGCTTGCATCCTTGATTGACCTCCATATATGTCAGAACCAGCAAGATAGATGTATGTTCCATGTTTGAAACCGAGGCCAGCGAGAACTAGTCCTGCTTCTTCTGGTGTCAATGGACATTTACCCATCTTCCTTAGCTCCTGTGGAGAAAGAGGCCTGCAGACATTCCAAAAATATGGTCAATTTAACCATCACACAAACCATGTTAAGCCAAATGGCAGAACTGATATAGAACATAAACTGTACTTTGATTTCTTCAGACGCTCAAGAAGTAAAGGGAAGTGGACTTCTCGATAAGTTTGTAGTTCACTTTTCTCAGTTTCTCCGCCACCAAACTCACACATAGAGTAGGCCACCATATCAATCTCAAACCTTAAATGCAAAGCAAGGTACTTGGAAGGGCCTTCTGCTGCATGATAGTGTCTCAAGGGAACATGAGGGATTAAGTTTCCAAGAAGTTGCTTATCCAATGTGCTCCTAGCAAAATCATACCTCCGAATCCGCCTAACCAGTAAAGAACCTATTTGTTGGATCTCTGGCACAAATTTCAAGGCATGGAAGTTGCACTTGCACCTTAATTTCTGCAACAAAATACAAATTTGTACTGTAAACAAGAACATAAAATCAACATACCACCATTGATAATTTTTACAATGTCTGAAGAGCATTTGAAGCACAAACTAGACATGAACTTGCATATGTCATTTCAAACTTGCATCTACCCTATAGACAATGAACAATTTCAAAGGATGATCTTCACCTGAAGTTCAGAAGACAACGGGTCAAAGCCGAGTCTGTTTCCATATCCTAGAAAGTGAACAACTCGATTGCGTAAGAGGAGGGGTAGTATTTTCTTGATGTATTCATCAGGCGTAGCTTCTTTTGAAAGTTCAGCATCAGTTATCTAAGCAAAGGTGAAAGGTAATATATGTTATCCTACAAGTCGATACAATTTCATGTCCCAACTTTTTAACTAAATAAGAAAACATACAAGACTTCCAGCTGCTTCCACATCTAGTAGTTTCAAATTAGGAGGGAGCTCCTTTATAATATTAACTTCATCCTTCAACATATCCATGAAATAGTCCTCTTGATATATATCCCCAAACTGGCTGTTCTCACACAAAAAAAGGTGTGGAAAGCTTGCTGTTAAGTTAAACTAAGTGGTGGAAGGGATGTAGGCTACTGATTATTTTGCTAGCTAGTAGCAAATAGCCAATGCAAAGAAGAAGAAAATATGCAATTGAAAAAGATGAGTCTATGTCTATCAAACCAAAGATTTTTGGGAAAACAAGAAATGGATCTTCCGTAGAAAAGTTGAAGCTCAGTTGATCCCAAAAGTTAAAAGAGTTCAAGCGCGATACAATATTTCTTCAGATCAATGCATTAAATGTAATACATTCATGAAGCAAAGACTTCTGTAGAGCTTAAATTGAAAGCTGTAACCATTTAATTGCTAACCTAGGATCCCTCCAGACATTGCTATAAAGAAACTTGGGAATGACCAAAGTGGCATTTAGGAGAGACGCTACAGCAACGGCATTGCAGACCTGCAGGCACAATTACAAAATTTCATTTCACGATCGACTAACCAAACATGACAGTCCTTATCAAGTAGACTCAACAATACAACTTGGCTAAAAGTTGAGAGGAAAAACAAGTTTATACACTTACAGCAACTCTTTGTTGATTTAGTCCTCCATTTGCACTAATCAATATATAACCAGTGATGTTTCTAGGTTTCCCTGTCCTGACAACTTACAACAATTATACCACAATTCAACATTCAAAGGGAGAATCGCATTTTCAAATATGATCATAAAATTGAACAGATTAAAGACGTATATAGTAAACAACATAATTCGTGCATGAGCAAACTATACATGAAAAATATCCTATTATGCTATTACCATGTGGACTAGTTTTATCTGCACAAGGTTTCCATGATGATGCCTGAGGATATGGCTCCTCCCAGAACTTTGATGACTCTTGCTTGAACTCCCTCTGCAGCAATTTAAGGAAATTCAAATAAAAGATAGATGTTAGGATCGTCAGTTACTATCGTTTTAAATGCAATTTCAAAATGAAGTTAATCAAGTTGAGTATCACAACAACCTCTGCAAGAGAAGAAGCAGCCATATTTAGTAGCCTTTCATACAGCTTCACCGGACCTTCTTTTGCTGCCCTCGGTACCATTTCCACCTTCAGGTACAAAATTAGATAGCAAATTAAAATAAATCACCTCAATAGAGCTTATACTATTCAGAGAAGCATGTCTACTGGTTCCGTTCAGTATATTAGGCACTTCAGCTATGTCATACCTCGGCCTTACTCGAGCCTTGTAAAGAAAAATTGTTCTGTAGCATCGCAGGGTCAAAAATCGAGAACAGAAGAGAATCCAAAAGGTATAGAAAGCCCATTAACAACAATGTGAAAACAATAGACCTAATATGTCTATGTAGCCTCCACATTTGCCTCTTTCCAACAAAAACTCCTTTACAAGGAGCGAATTTCGCAGAGTCATTTTTCATCCCTTTGGTCAAAACAACTTTGTCCCAATTATAATCTCCCCCTGATAACCTTCTTCCTATAGGAGGATCACCTCTGTATTGCATATCTAAACTTGGAAATTCATTTTCTTTTACCCCAAATGATATATCTAAATCCTGATTCTCCACTCGACCGCCTCTAGGAGACCCTTGTTTCCCCATTTCTCACCCTTAACAGAAACAATGATCAATTACACAATCTCCCTTTTTTTTTAATCTTCACAATGTTTCCAACAATATTACATTTTTTGTTTGTGAAGACCCCATTTCAATAATTAGTCTTCCATTGAAGTTTGTTGAAAAAGTTACAAGAAAATTAGATAAAACTGAAACGTCTCTATGCATAAATTGGAAGTAAAGTTCAAGAAATTGGTGACTGACACACATAAACCAAACCAACACTGGATCATGAAAAAATAACGTATGAGTAAAATTTAAGGCATTAAAAGAATATGAGAAAAGAATCGACATCTGCAACAACTACTTCTCACCAAACTGTGAAAAAGTCTGGTCTTTATTTTATTGTGTGTTTTTTAATGGAGACTTTGGAAGAGTTAATTTTGTGACAAGAACACTTTACATGACATCTGGGATTATTATAAGTAGTGCAATTCTTTCATTCCTATAAGAAAAAGCTTATATTATTGTTTTTTTTTTTTGAAGTTCTCTGTTTGGTGGGGTCTTTTTAACTACCTTTCGATACCAAACGGTTGGGTTGCCCCAATTTTTACTATTTTATATTCTCTAATTTTGTTAACATTTTTATTTTTATTTTCTTCTACATCTTTTATTTTATACAATTAGAAAGATAAATTTAGCACACTTCTATATTTTCCTATATCAATGGGTACAAAATGTGTGTGCATTAGAGAAAAAAATATTATTTAATTGTATTCTCAACGTAATAAAGAAACTGTGTTATGCAAGAGTTTTCCTAATTTTTTTCCTATATGATACTAACTTGAATTATTCGTTGGACAAGACCTAAGTCTCTTCCTCACAGCTCATGACTTTTCTTTGTCCTTTTATTTTTTCTTAGGGACGTAATTTAGTGGCCAATGAAGTGGGATAACAATCATGGGAGATCAACGTTCATGTTCAAGCCAAGACAAATATACAACTCCCTCCATTTCAATTTGTTTGTCCTTCAAATAAATGTCTCTTTACTTTTCTTGACAACTTTTTAATTTCAACTTTTTCCACGTGACTTGTTTAAGAACACAAGAGTAAAGAAAATTTTAGTACATTCGATGTATCTTTAATTTTGTTGTGCGGAATTTGAGATAATACGAGAAAATATAAACGCGAAAAATAAGACAACAGATTTACGTGGTTCACCAACAAATTGGCTACGTCCACGGGAAGAGAGGGAGCAGTTTTATTATGGAGAGGCAAAAACAGAATTACAGAATAGGGTTTCCCATAGCGTCTATATATAGTGCTAAGCTACGCCCTAACAGGCTTGGGCCCAACATACAGAATCAACAGAAAATTAAGGGCCCAATACAACAACATTGTATACCGTCGGCCCGGGGGCGTCTCCGCCCCCCCGGACCCCCAGGCCAGGGGGCGCGTCGCCCCCCTGGACCCCCCGACTCGCTGACCGGGCAGCGAGACCCCCGTCCTTTCTGTTTGTAGCGGGTCCGATTCAAGGCATTCAACAAATCTCCACCTTGACTTGAATTCTCCGAACAGATTCTTCAGACGCACTATGATAGTGCCAAGCCTCCCCCTCTTCCTCAGAGTTGCCCCGCAGGGCAATTAACAGCTTCTGATGTTGAGCAAGTCCAAACAGTGTTGAAACTTGCTCTGTGGAACCGGCTTTGTGAACATATCAGCAGGATTATCAGCAGTTCCTACTTTCTTCACCTTGATTCTCTTCTCACTTCTTAGAAAATGATACCTTACGTCAATATGCTTGGTTCTCTCATGATGGACTTGATCCTTGGCTAGACAAATTGCGCTCAAACTGTCACAATACACCGTAGCCTGATCATGATGCAGACCAAGATCACTAACCAGCCCTTTCAACCAAATCCCTTCTTTTGCAGCCTCTGTCAAGGCCATGTACTCCGCTTCCGTAGTAGACAAAGTCACTGTAGGTTGCAAAGTTGCCTTCCAACTGACGACAGATCCTCCAAGGGTAAACACATAGCCAGTCATCGATCTTCTTGTGTCAACATCTCCAGCATAGTCTGAATCAGAATAGCCAGTAACCAAGCACTGAGTATCACCTCCATAAATGAGACCAACGTCAGATGTACCTCTAAGGTACCGGAAAATTCTCTTCACAGCCTGCCAATGTTCTCTCCCTGGTTGTCCCATGAATCTGCTCACTACACTGACTGCATGTGCTAAATCTGGCCTTGTACAGACCATAGCATACATCAAACTTCCTACGGCACTGGCATAAGGGACTCGTGACATATACTCCTTCTCTTCTTCTGACTGTGGAGCGAACATGGCAGTGAGATGGATATTGGCAGCACTGGGGGTATCAATGGGCTTAGATGAAGACATGCCAAACCTCGCCAAGACCTTCTGAATGTAGCTTCTCTGTGACAAGAAAAGTTTCCTTCTCTCTCTGTCTCTAATGATCTCCATCCCTAAAATCTTCCGAGCGGCTCCCAGATCCTTCATCTCAAACTCAGCACTAAGTAAACCCTTCAGCTTCTGAATGTCATACTTCTTCTTTGCAGCTATCAACATATCATCTACATAAAGCACCAGATAGATGAATGAATCATCATTGAGCCTATTGTAGTAGACACAACAATCATATGAGCTCCGAGTATAGCCCAACTTCACCATATAGCTGTCAAACCTTTTATACCACTGCCTTGGAGACTGCTTAAGTCCATATAAGGACTTCTTCAACTTGCAGACGTGATTTTCCTTCCCTGGAACTTGGAAACCATCCGGCTGAGTCATGTATATCTCTTCCTCCAACTCTCCATGTAGAAACGCTGTCTTCACATCAAGTTGTTCAAGCTCCAGATTCTGATGTGCAACTATCGCTAGTAACACTCGGATGGAAGTATGTCTGACCACTGGTGAGAAGATCTCATTATAGTCCACTCCCTCTCTTTGGTTGAAACCTCTGGCAACAACCCTGGCTTTATACTTGACTCCTTCTGCTGGTGATATCCCTTCCTTCTTCTTGAAAACCCATTTGCAAGTAATAATCTTTCTCCCCGAAGGCTGTATGACCAGATCCCATGTCTGATTCTTGTGTAGGGACTCCATCTCATCTCCCATAGCGGCAAACCATTTTTCAGAATCAGAACTTAAAATGGCTTCTTTGTAAGTAGACGGCTCAGATGTATCTACCTCTTCAGCAACCTGCAGTGCATAACCCACCATGTCCTCAAAACCATACCTCGTAGGTGGCCGAACTCCAACCCTCCTTGGCCGATCTTGAGCTATACTCTGATGGATATCTGATGGCATAGATTCTGGAATATCAGTTTCAGTCTGTGGCTCTTGATCCTCCTCTTCAGGTTCCTTTAAATCGCTCTCGTTCTGAATGACTTGAAACTCCACCTGTTTGTCAAGACTCCCAGTTTCTGACGTAGTTGTAGGCTTCACAATGGTTCTAAGCAGAGGACTTTCATCAAAGACAACGTTCCTGCTCATAATAACCCTCTTTTCTGCTGGAGACCAGATTCTGAAACCTTTCACTCCATCTCCGTAGCCCACAAATACTCCCTTTTTAGCTCTTGGTTCTAACTTACCTTCACTGACGTGATAGTAAGCCGTACAACCAAAAGCTTTCAGATTTGAATAATCAGCAGCTTTTCCAGACCACATCTCCATAGGTGTCTTGCACTGTATACCTGTATGTGGTCCGCGGTTAATCAAGTAGCAAGCTGTACTAACCGCTTCTGCCCAGAATCTTCTATCTAGCCCAGCATTAGAGAGCATGCACCTTGCTCTCTCCAGAAGTGTTTGATTCATCCGCTCAGCTACACCGTTCTGCTGTGGTGTATTTCTGACTGTGCGATGTCGAGCAATCCCTTCATCCTTACAGAATTGATCAAATTCAGACCAACAGAATTCCAGCCCATTATCAGTTCGCAACCTCTTGATCTTCTTCCCTGTTTGATTTTCCATCAAAATTTTCCACTCCTTGAACTTCTGGAAGGCTTCACTTTTATGCTTCATCATGTACACCCAAGTCATCCTTGAGTAGTCATCAATAATGGACACAAAAAATCTGCAGCCTCCCAAAGACTCAACACGGCATGGACCCCAGCAATCAGAATGGATATAATCAAGTGTGCCTTTTGTTCTATGAATGGCCTTTGGAAACTTGTTGCGATGTAGTTTTCCAAAAACACAATGTTCACAAAACTCTAGGCTCTTAACCTTATGACCAGCAAGTAAATCCTCCTTTGACAGAATTTGCATCCCTCTTTCACCCATATGACCAAGTCTTATGTGCCATAACTTAGTCATATCCTTCTGGTGAAATTCTGACGATGCAACATGGGCTGAACCTGTAACCGTGGAACCTTGTAGAAAATACAAAGTACCACGCATGACACCTTTCAGAATCAAATTTGAACCCTTCCAGACCCGCAAGACTCCATCTTTTCCCGACCAGCTGAATCCCTTGCTGTCCAAAAGACTGAGAGATATCAGATTTTTCGTCATCAATGGAACGTGCCTGACCTCGTTCAATGTGCAGAAGCTACCGTCATGTGTCCTTATCTTGATCGAGCCTGTCCCAACCACCTTGCAGACAGAACTGTTGGCCATCGAGATGCTGCCTCCGTCTACCTGCTCATAAGTCGTGAACCACTCTCTCCTAGGACAGATGTGATAGGATGCCCCAGAATCAAGAACCCACACATCTGAATGATGAGTGTGCTCATCCGCAACTAGGGCAATATCTTCTTCAGAATTGGTGTCTTCTTCAGCAACAGCAGCAGACACTGATTGTTTTTCCGATTGCTTCTTCTTCTTCGGACAATCAAATTTCCAATGTCCCTTCTCCTTGCAGTAATTACAAACATCATCCGGCTTTGCACCCTTCGACATCGGCTTATTTTTCTTTCCGCCGTTTTTCCTTCCCTTTCTGCTACTGGTGAACAGACCGGAAGGCTGTATGTCCGTACTTGTGCCGTTAGCCTTATGCCGTAATTCCCTGCTATGAAGGGCTGATCTGACTTCTTCCAGTGACACAGTATCTTTCCCAACAATGAACGATTGAACAAAATTCTCAAACGACATTGGGAGAGATACTAACAGAATCAGGGCAGCATCTTCATCCTCGATCTTCACATCGATATTACGCAATTCTAATAACAAAGTATTCAATTGCTCTAAGTGTTCCCTGAGTTGTGTACCTTCAGCCATTCGTAAACCGAATAGACGTTGTTTCAGAAGCAGCTTGTTGGTTAGAGATTTTGTCATGTACAAACTCTCCAGCTTCAACCACAGACCAGCAGCAGTCTCTTCATCCGAGACCTCCGTGATGACGTCATCCGCGAGACACAGCATGATCGTCGAGTGCGCCTTTTCCTCCAGAATCGCCATCTCAGGAGTAACGACGGCGTTCTTGTCTTTCGACAACGGCGCCCAGAAGCCTTGCTGTTTCAACAAGGCCCGCATCTTGATCTGCCATAAACTGAAACTGTTCCTCCCTGTGAATTTGTCGATTTTCACGTTCAAAGCAGACATCTCGAATTCTCCAAGAACACCGATTAACCGAGAGGCTCTGATACCAATTTGTTGTGCGGAATTTGAGATAATACGAGAAAATATAAACGCGAAAAATAAGACAACAGATTTACGTGGTTCACCAACAAATTGGCTACGTCCACGGGAAGAGAGGGAGCAGTTTTATTATGGAGAGGCAAAAACAGAATTACAGAATAGGGTTTCCCATAGCGTCTATATATAGTGCTAAGCTACGCCCTAACAGGCTTGGGCCCAACATACAGAATCAACAGAAAATTAAGGGCCCAATACAACAACATTGTATACCGTCGGCCCGGGGGCGTCTCCGCCCCCCCGGACCCCCAGGCCAGGGGGCGCGTCGCCCCCCTGGACCCCCCGACTCGCTGACCGGGCAGCGAGACCCCCGTCCTTTCTGTTTGTAGCGGGTCCGATTCAAGGCATTCAACAAATTTCAACCACAAGCTTAAAACATTTTGTTTTTTTTTTACTTTTTTACACTCTTTGTCAAGTCAAAACAAGACTAACAAATGGAAGAACGGAGTAGGTGATTTCTTCCATTTTAAGTATTAGAGGACAAAGTTACTCTTTGCTTGTGTTGGTGAGAGGTAGCAGTTGAGATAGTTGACGTGTGTGTAAGTTGGCTGCACAACAATTATTTTTCTGCACTAACGAATGGTTTAGCAAGAGATGAACTTTCTAAAGTAAGATATTGAGGCCTTCAAGACTTCATATGTTCATGAGAAGTTCAATTCAACAACTTAACAGTAATATAAAAATATACAATCATCTTTCTCAATCCTTTAGTGATTTATTACATTTTCAACATAGTTCTGATGTTCTTCAGTTGAGCAAGAACATGTTTGATGTTCATTCTTTCCTCTGGCAAGTCTGCAGTGCACCTCAGAGCTAATTCCATGATGGATGATGAGCACTGCATCTTTCCTGTTTTGTTCTTCTCCTCTGGTATAATAAGCTCGGGGTCTATTATCTTGTCCATTGCGAGTGGCCATGATTGTCTTATCCACTCCCTCAGGCTTGAATTTTCAGCAAACATTTCATCTGTTGGCTTCTTTCTTGTAAAGGTTTCCATCAACATGATACCGTAGCTGTAAATGTCGCACCTTGTAGATACCAGTCCTTCCAATCCAAACTCTACATTGAAATAAAACAAAATATCAAGAGAATATGGTATCTTTCAAATGATTGAAATTAAATTTGAAGGAGAAATGAAGCATGTTGATATGATTGTTACCTGGTGCAATGTATCCAATGGTTGCAAGGGTTTTGGTTTGTACAATACTTTCTCCAACCCCTAGTAGCTTTGCCAGGCCAAAGTCACTCACATGTGCAACCATATCTTCGTCGAGCAAGACATTGCTAGGCTTTAGATCACAGTGAACGACTGGCACAAAATAGCCTTGATGAAGATAGTCTAATGCTGATCCCACATCAATCATTATGTCTACTCTCTGCATGATATCTAAGGAACAAGTTCCGGAATGAAGCCAATTATTCAGGCTTCCCTTAGGCATGTACTCTAATACTAAGGCTTTGAAATCAACGCTGGAGCAACTATTGATGACTTTGGTCAGATTTCTATGACGAAGGTTGCGTAAGACTTCACATTCTGTGTCAAAACTCTTGAATGCCCCTTCTGTTTGCAAGTTGAATACCTTAACAGCCACTATAGTACTCCCAAATGTTGCTTTGTAAACAGAACCATAACTTCCAGAGCCAAGCAAGTTGCTTGTACTGAATCTGTCAGTTGCTTGTTGAAGGTCATGGTATGAAACTCTTCCATGTACTGTGGCTGGAGAAGCATCCGCCTGATGAGTAGCAACAGTTGTCTCCTTCTTTCGACTTCTAATCACCAAAAAGATGGTGAGCATGACTGTGAGCATTATGACTGAAGAAGCCACCAACAAGATCAACAGAATAAGAAGCACCTTCTTTTTTCTTTTCCTACTAGGAGAATTAGACCTACATGCTGGTATCTGCAACCTAGCAGGGCCACATAATGCCTCATTTGAAAGGAATGAATCATAAGAGAAGTTCAGGAAAGGACCTCCAATTGGAATTTCACCACTCAATCTGTTGTTAGATACATTAAGGTAGTTGAGATGTGAAAGAGCCACCAATGTTTTGGGAATGCCACCAGAGAGTTTGTTATTAGACAAGTCTAACGATTCCAAGGCAACCATGTTCCCCATTGACTCTGGAATTGGCCCTTCTAGTCTATTTTCTGCAAAAGAAAGTTCAGCCATATTTTGCATGCCTCCAATTGTGCTTGGTATACTTCCCGAGATTTGATTTTTCGATATATTCAGCAATGTTGCGACTTTCAGATTTCCAATTTCTGGAGGTAGAGAGCTTTTCAAGGAATTTGACGATACATCAAGATGCAAGAGATCATTGAGGTTCCACAGGCTGGGAGGTATGCTAAAAGTCAATTTGTTGGAACCTAGGTAAATGTATCTAAGAGATGTAATGTTCCCTAAACATGCTGGTATAGAGCAGCAAAGCTCATTATTTCCCAAGCTCAAGAATCCTAATTTCTTTAAATTGCAGAGTTCCTCAGGGATAGGTCCACTTATCATTTTGTTGTCATACAAATTCAGTGCTTGAAAGTTCTTTGAATTTCCTATTGTTCTTGGAATGAATCCACTCAAGTGATTGCCTTGAAGAAACAAGAAAGACAAACCACTTAAATTTCCTATTTCACTGGGAATGTAGCCTCTGATTTCACTATTAGCAGCATAAATGTAGTCAAGAGAACTTGAGAGATTTCCAACAGAAGGCGGAAGATATCCATTGAGTGGATTATAACCTATCCAGAGTTGTCTCAAATGTCTGCAATTTGTCAAGGAATCAAAGAAAGTCAATCTTGGAGATGAAGGCTCTCTTGTGAAATGATTTCTGTTCACGTTGAGGTACTCTAAACGTCTTAGATTACCAAACGACTTTGGAAAAGGACCAGAAAAGTCATTATATCCAATTCCAAGCCAGAAAATATTGGAAGCATTTGAGAGAGAATTAGGGATGGCTCCAGTAAGGTTATTGTAACCAAGATAAAGTTCTTCAAGATTAGGAAGACCAAGTCCTATATCTGATGGTAGAGTTCCAGTAAAGAAGTTCCCTAAAAATGAAATGCCCCTTATGTTTGACATGTTGAATATTGTAGATGGAATAGGACCTGTTAAGAAATTGTAATGTAGATCTAATCTTCCCAAATTGAAAAGATTACCAATCTCCCTTGGTAATTCACCTGATGACATTTGACTGACTTGTTAAGATATGAAAAACATAGGAACGTACACCAAATAATGGAAAAAAATGACAAGATGATACCTGTTAAGTTGTTTTCTCTTAGGAAGAGGTCAGAAAGTGAACTGCAGTTTCCAAATTCTTTTGGAATGCTTCCACTGAATAAATTATTCCCAAGATCGAATGCTCTGAGATAAGGCATGTTCAAACATATATCCCGGGACAATGTGCCAGAGAGATTATTTCCATAAAGATTGAGCGATTGAAGTGAAGTTAAGTTACTTATAGAAGATGGTAAAGGACCACTTAGGCTACAGTTCTGTGCATCCAATATCTCTAGATTACGAAGATTTCCAATCTCTTCAGGAATTTCACCTGCAAATTAAATCATAAATAGAAAGTCTACTTTCTGCAGTATAGCAATTAAGGAGTGCATACATGATTCGAGAAATATGTTTCATGTATGCACAAAAAAGGAACAAAAAAGACAAATATGTATAACTCACCTTTCAAGTCATTGCGACCAAGATATAAAATAGACAGCATATTCAAGTTCCCGATCTGTTTAGGTATCAATCCACTGAACTTATTGAATGACAATGACAAAATCTGAAGCTTTGAGCATTTATCTATTCCCAAAGGAATTTGACCATCAAATTCATTGTCAGAAACTGCAAGCACCAAAAGTTGTGGGAGACTCGAGCATATATCGACAGGAAGATTTCCAGACAAACGATTTTTTGTCAAAACCAAGCGTTGTAACGATGAAATGTTGTACAGGCTAAGTGGTACAGAGCCTGTTAGCTGATTTGATCCCAAGCTCAACCAAGTCAAGTTCTGAAGATTACCAATTTCATTTGGAATTTCCCCTTGTAACTGATTAAATCCCAAGACTAAACTCTCAAGTTTGGAAGCATTGCAAATATCTGGTGGAATAATACCTGTGAAACTGTTAAAAGCTAGATGCAAGTGCTGGAGTTCTGGCAAAAGAGAGAACCATGAGGGAATATCTCCAGTGAACTTATTAGAAGTGACATTTATAAACTCCAATCTATGCAAATTAGCCAACTCTCGTGGCAAAATTCCTTGGAAGCTGTTGCTACTGATATCGAGAGAAACCAAAAAGGACAGATTTCCCAAGTGAGGAGGGATGGTGCCTACTAATCCCATATCAGAAATATCCAAGGTTATAACTCTTTGATGGCGAGAGCCGCAGGTGACTCCAATCCAATTGCAAACAGAAGTAGTTGAGGTCCAGTTGCTTGACAAGATATTGTAAGTATCGGAAGTAACATAGGATTTCAAAGCAAGTAGAGAAGCTTCATCAGTTTTGAGATTGACTTCTGCAGTGGCTGATAATATCAGCAAATGATGCCATATTGAAACTAAGAGAGGGAAAAGGAAATTGATTTTTCTCATCATGGTTGTGTACATGTTAGAATACAGTATGTTTGTTCCAGTAAACACTAAGGTATAAACCACATTACACATAAAATGATTTTAAAAAATACAATTGAATTAAAAATTCAAGCAATTGTTATCTTTAGGGTCAATCAAGAGAAATGGTGGAAAGGGACAAACAATGATGATGTTAGAGTTGAATTCATTAGTATTTTCCATGAAAATTCCTCAACATATAAAAATAGAAAAGAAGTATAGAATCAGACCAATGAAAGTCAATACTGATTGTTAATTACTACTAAATTTAAAATACCATTTTGAAAACCAGAGTCACCCTTTTGGACAAACATAACATGGCTTTTCCCATTTCTTGGTTATGCCTCAATATGAACTCAGGATGGGAAATTTTTACTAGTATTTCTACATGTTTGACTTAATAATTAGAATGGTCCATAACATTAGGATTTTTTAATCAAACTTATCAAATTATTAAAGAAGAGTATATTAATCTAGTATTTTATTAACGATTTCCCCTTATTATACAGATAAATATTAATATAATGAACAGAAACAGCTAAGGAACAGGAAATACTACAAGTCAAATTACTGGATAGAGAAGCTGAGATACAGACAATCAATTCTTGGACTTTGAACCTTAAAAAATCAGAAACTAATATGAACATGTCCATGAGTGGTCATGAACAAATTGTTGGTAACAAGGTCTTCATGTAATTGTATCTTTAATTAGGGTTATCACAGAGGTTTACCACCTTTTAACCAGATTCTGTAATTTTTTTCTTACTATGTCGGATGTTAGTGCTCTTTACTTAAACTCAAAAGAAATACCAGAAAATTAAAAATAATAGCTTGTTTCATGTTTGATTACTTATTGGAATTTTTTCACAGATAACATTATTTATATAACAAATTATGACGATATTATTGAGTTTTCAAAACATAACAACAATTGTTTTTTTCAAAACATGTCATATTGAGTAGATGTGGGCTCTTCCTTACCCTGAGGAATAGAACAGTAGAATACCAATAGACACCTTTGGTCTGTATTTTGATTCTTATTAACAGGCATGATTGTTTTGTATTTTGATTCTTCCTGATTAGTTACATAATTGATTGAATTATCTAAATGATTGTTAGTTACTTGAGCCAAACACTAATTGTGATTATAAAATTTATTTCATGAGAATTAGGAAAAAGCAATTTGGAACCAAACAGGCCAAAATTCACAAAGGATCTCAATAAGAATAGGAATATCTTATGCAGCTAGAAAGGAAAACAGTCTAGGTATGCAGCTAAAAAGTTAACCAAACACTTTCTATACCCTCAAGTGACATGAGTCAAATGTCTTTATGCACTTGCGGAACATGAAAGAAGTTGAATCTTGATCTTTTGTAGTGTTCCTACAACATCTTTCATGTAGATCCTTTCTTCAGGAGATTCAGCAGAGCAATCCAGTGCCACTTTCATGATGGATGCTACACAATCTATCTTTTCCATGAATTTCTCATCTTCTGGTGTTAGAAAATTCGCATCTACAACTTTGATTGTTGCCTCTGGGAGTGAATCACTCACCCATTTCTTTAAACTAAGATCTTCATCAAATATTTCATCGTTCGGCCTTCTCCTCGTGAATGTTTCCATCAGCATGATCCCGTAACTATAAACATCACATTTTAGCGACAGCAATCCTTCCCTTCCATACTCTACAATAAAAACACTTACGGATTATCATTTAATCCGAGAAAAGGAAAACAAAGATAGGATACTGAAACAGGAAGTATAATAGATTTTATTTACCTGGTGCAATGTAGCCGAATGTTGCTAAGGTTTTAGTGTGTAAATCACTCTCATCTTCACTGAGTAGTTTAGAAATGCCAAAGTCACTTAAATGAGCTACCATGTTTTCATCTAGCAAGACATTGCTAGGCTTCAGATCACAATGAATCACAGGTGCTGAGCAACCATGGTGGAGATATTCCAATGCACATGCCACATCAATCATTATGCTTAGTCTTTGAAGGATGTCTAAGAAGTAGTTGTGTGAATACAACCACTTTTCAAGGCTCCCATTAGGCATGTACTCGAGCACTAAAGCCTTGAAATCAAGGTTGGAGCAACTGCTAATGACTTTGGTGAGATTCCTATGGCGAAGGTTGCGAAGAACTTCACATTCTGTTTCAAAACTCTTGAATGCACCTTCAACTTGTAGGTTGAACACTTTAACTGCAATGATAGTCCCATTTATGAGAATTCCTTTGTAAACAGAACCAAAACTCCCTGAACCAATGAAATTACTCTCACTAAAATCATTTGTGGCTTGTATGATTTCATAGTATGAAATTCTTTCCCTTGTAGCTAACAAATCAGCTTGGACTGGAACATTTCCTTCTTTTCTGTACCTCATCCACACAAATGCCAATGTTACAAAAACAATTGTCACAGCAGCTCCGAGTAGAGGAAAGACTATCAGAAGTAACTTCTTCCTCTTTGATCTATGGTTTGAAGAAGTGGGGCACGAAGGGACATGAAATCTTGGAGCACCACACAATGCTTCATTGAACATGAATGACAGGCTGGAAAGGTTCTTGAAAGGACCACTAAAAGGAATTTCACCCTGCAAGCTGTTAAAGGAAACATTGAAATAGTTGAGATACCGAAGCTTCTCTAAGGACATCGGAATTGATCCAGATAGATTGTTATTCGAGAGGTCTAGAAATTCCAAACTCGGTATGCTACCTATTGAGTCAGGTATAGATCCTTGCAACTTGTTTTGTGCCAAAGAAAGGTATATCAGATTTTGCATGTCTCCAATTTCTCTTGGAATACCATTTGAAAATTGATTATGCGAAAGATCTATACGAATTGCAACCCTTAGATTTCCAATTTCTGCAGGTAAAGAACCACTCATGTTGTTAGACGATAAGTCGAGCTCCAGAAGATCTTTGAGGTTACCTAAGCTTAATGGTATATTTGAACTCAATCTGTTGGAATTGAGTTTTATCCCCCTAAGGGAAGTAACATTCCCTAAACAATTAGGAACAAGTCCTGAGAATTGATTTTCACCCAAGTATATGTTACCCAAGTTTTGCATTTTACAAAGGCTATCTCCAATAGATCCTTTTAGTCTGTTGTTAGCCAAAGAAAATTCCTGAAGCCTGCCTAAGCTGCCAAGTGTCCCGGGAATCGGTCCAGTCAATCTGTTCCCATATAGAAACAAGTAGATTAAGCTGCTTAAATTCCCAATATCATTCGGAATATCACCTTTAATTTGGCAATCAGAAGCCAAAATCTTTTCAAGAGAAGTTGAAAGGTTCCCAACTGAGGGTGGAAGCATACCATTTAGAGGGTTAAAGGAAAGACTCAGTTGTTTTAGATTTCTGCAGTTTGTCAATGAAGTTAAGAAGTTAAGTTCTTGAGAAGACTGGTCACTGCTTAAATTGTTTTCCATCAAGTTTAGGGTCTGTAGGAGTGTCAAATCTCCAAGAGAGTTGGGAATCGAGCCGGAAAGTTTGTTCAGTGAAAGGTCTAGAGCAGTAAGTCTTGAACAATTTGAGAGAGAATGAGGCATACTCCCAGCAAGGTTCGTTAGGCCACCTAGATAAAGAAGTTCTATGTTGGGAAGCATAGAACCTATACTCGATGGGAGGGTTCCCGATAGAGTATTATCTGTAAGATCAATCAATCTCAGTCCTGAGATGTTGAATATCCCCATCGGAAATGAACCACTGAATCTGTTACTCCCCAAATCAATGTCCACCAACTCAATGAGGTTGCTTACCTCTTTTGGTATTTCACCTGCCAAAGTTATATAGTAGTAATGATCTTTAACTAGGTACTTTAACTTAGAAAATGTTTATTTTTTATTGTCTGCATACCTGTAAGCATGTTTTGACCAAGATATAGACCTTGAAGCATAGTAAGATTTCCAATCTCCCTCGATAAGGATCCAGTAAAATTGTTGTTTTGCAGTGACAGAAGTTGTAGTGAAGAAATATTGAATATGGACTTGGGTATAGAGCCTGTAAGCTGGTTTCTCTCCATGCCTATCATTACCAAATTAACAAGATCCCCAATTTCCTGTGGTATTTCCCCTGTAATCATGTGACAGCATCTTGTATAGTTATCTTAAAAAGAAAAAACAAAAGACCTCGTACAAAATAGAAGACCTTGTATCATACCTGTGAAACGGTTAAAACCAAGATATAAGGTCTGCAAGTTACTTAACATCCCAATTTCACTAGGTATCGGTCCATCAAAATCATTATTTGATAGAGATAATAGCTGAAGTTCGTAACATCTTGACAAGCTTTGTGGCATATGGCCTTGTAGCTTATTAAAAGAAAGATAAAGCCCTTTGAGTATCGGAAGATGATCACATAAATCATCAGGGAGGTCACCAGATAAACCATTTTGGGAAAATCCAATAGACTCAAGTGTGGAAATATTGAAAATTGAGAACGGTATAGAACCTGTAAGCTGATTATTTTCTATAATCAACCAGTTCAGGTTCTGAAGATCACCCATCTCATTTGGGATGTTTCCATGAAGGAAATTATAAGAAAGAATCAACTTTTCCAGCTTTGTAGCATTTGAGAAGGATGGAGGAACAGTACCAGTAAGATTGTTATGTCCCAGGTTTAAACCCCTCAAATTCTTTAGATTTCCAATGTCTTTTGGGATGTTACCCTCCAAAGTATTGAAGGCTAAATCCAAAGCTTCAAGATTGGAAATGTTAGAAAGTGAAGACGGAATTAAACCAGTAAAACTATTATTCTTAAGAGTAAGAACTTCAAGTTGAGCTAAGAAACCGAACCAAGAAGGAACTTCACCACTAAAATTGTTATAACTCAATTTCATGAGCTTCAATCTACGCAAACGAACCATTTCTTGAGGCAGATTGCCAAAGAAATTGTTGCTATCCAAGTCAAGAGAAACAAGAAATGTGAGGTTCCCAAAAAGTTGTGGGATGGTTCCTGTTATACCCATGTTGGAGATATTCAAGGAAGTCACTCTGTTGTGCCTAGAGCCACAAGTGACTCCAATCCAATTGCAAACAGAAGTGTCCTGAGACCAGCTTTTGGACAAGAGCTGAAAAGGGTCAGAAATGATATGAGATTTCAAGGAAAGAAGCGCGGACTGATCAGTTGTAATATTGGTTTCTGTCTTGATAGCTAAGCTAGTTACTATACATTGAAGTAACAAAAATGCTAATTGAGAATAGAACAAGGATTTCTCCATGAGTGTCATTGCTTTGAAAAAAAAAATTGAACTTGCTTATTTGAATTAGTGCAAAGAGGATTTCGGATATATATTAAGTAAAATGTTTCTTCTCAAAGAGTTTTATTTGGTAATGTTTGAATATGTCTCATTCTTCACAGAATTAGATTGGACTTGCGTTTTAAACTGTATTTTTTTTAAAAAAAAATAGAAAATCCCATCTAATATTTAGAGTCCACATCACTGTAGAGCTCATTCAGAATGACGCTTTTAACATAATTTTCTTCATATTCACAACAACAAATCAAGACATCTAATTAAGGATGGAGTAGTTCTATCACTATGCTACAATCTATGTTGATCGTTTTAAACGCATCTTGAAAGACTTTGATATAATTGGTTTGTAGGGTATACTTCTTGGGATGAATTTTCACAACTGCAGCAGTGACAGAGGCTATTTGAGGGAAAAAACAAAACTACATAAATGGTGAAGATGATCATTCCTGAAGTCAAGTAAACGCTGATTCATTAAATATGAGGTGTAACCGGTCTTAGTAGTCTCTGTTGAATCTGATAAAGTGGTGGATTAGGATTTGAAATTTATGAGTTTCAACAATTTGTTAAGTTTTTTGCTATCGGATTTTCAATAGATATTTCTTATATATTTAATGAATTTCTCAATATAAATATTGAGTTTGCGCAAAAGTAACTAAGTTTTGAAATTCATACCTAATTCTCTACATCCGCCCCTCAATGGTTCTATGCACCCAATATCTTATCTTAAACCAACTATGAAATGACTCCTAAGGGGTCGTTTGGTAGGGTGTGAGTTATACAAGTATTAAAAATATCATGTAATTAGGAGATAAGTTATTAATGTATAAAATTAATATGATGTTAGTTTGAAATTTTGAAACAAACATAATTAATACATGAATAACTATATTTTGTATAACCGATACAAGTATAAAATAAAGCACAAATTTTATCATAACTTACACATGCAAGTAAGTATTTGTTATGCGGTATTAGTTATTCCATCTTCTACTCGATATAAAATAATATACCAATTTTCTCATAATTTTACCTATATTTATTATGCCAATTTTTAAATTGTAAACTAATAATTACTTGCTTCTTTAACGGCTACCAAACTAACTCTAAATGCTTACATCCTTTATACGTAATGAAGAATTTAGTAGTTGCCAAGCTCCTAACGTATTATCGGATTTCTAATTAAAGATTAATACATATTTATATTTTATGAGGGTCCTACTATCCCTCTATATTATTTAAAATTGAAATTATTACTTTCCTATTAACAATCACGTTTATGTTTATAAGTAAAATTCAAGTGTTTGACATGTGTAATTTTTTTTGTCCTTTTTGACTGATTATTTTATTTTCTTTTTCTTTTTTCTTTTTCCTTTTATTTCTTTGTCTTCCTCTTCCATCCTTCAATGCCATCTTACCATAGAGCCACAAGTGGAAAGGTTGAGAAGCGAAATAATTTATGGTGGTAACTAGAGGAATGACAAACCTCCTCATCATATTTGAAAGAGTAGGGGTTCAATAAGAGGAATGACCTAAAAAATAATTTGTCGGTCAAAAATCTTCTTTCATGAAGATATTTTGAGATTTTTAAGAGATCCCAAGCATTATTAAGTTGTTTGAATGAATTTTGTTAATTGAAAAAATTTGTTATAATAGCTTCAAAATGATATTCCAGTAGTGTTTTAATGGCTAATAGTTGATTTTAAAAATGGGAATAAAGTAATTTACTTAAATTCTTTTAAGAAAAAATTAGCAAACTAGTCACAATCCCTAACTTAACACTTTAAAATAATTATTAAAAATATCGAAATGTCAATATTTTAGAAAACAATATGTATTCTAATTTTATTTCTCAAAACAGTCCAACTTTGAATCAAATTCTACATCGATTACCCATTTACACTTCTTCCTATGCTTAAGTACCATTAAATTTATTTTTCATCTTTCAATTTTCAATTTTTTTTTCTCTTTCATCAACTTTTCAGTTTTCACCATCTCTATCATTCACTTTTCTCTTTTTTTTTTCTTTCATCAAAATTTCACAATTATTTTCTCTCATTGTTGAAGAAGAACTAATAATTCAAATTCGGAACAATTTGTTCAAATCTACCAATTAATCAAGAAATCTCTCAATTGATAAATGTATTTTTGAATTAATCATTTATTTTGCGAGTTTTGTTTTCAAAATCACACGTTATATTGAATTTTCGAATTGTATCTATTAAGGATTTTTCGTCATTTTCTTAATTTTTTAGTGAGTTTGTTAACATATTCATCAAATATTTATGTATTTCAGATTTTAGTATTTAAAATAATTTTTGTCGATTTTTTTTATAATATGTTTTTTTATTTCAAATTTAGTAGAATTCACATTAACATTTAGGTATTGAGTTGTTTCACAAAAGTATTTGAAAGTATTTTGAATGTATTGTAGTATGTAGTCAAATTTGTTTTTACAAAGTGATAATCTAAATACAAACTTGTATTTTGATTATTGAAAATAGTGAATGAATGCGAAATCAATGATGAACTAGTTGGTATAAACATATAATGAGCAAAATAACATATAAACTATTTGACTAATGCAATTAGGAGGAATACGCTAATAATGAACACATAAATAAACTGTATTTTGGCTATTTATAGTTCAGAATGAATACGAAATCAAAATATAAATACAAAACTTTATGGTATACATTAGGACGAATACAAAATCAAATCTAAATACATACTTTATAATACACATTAGGACGAATAAGAAATCAAATCTAAATACAAACTATTTGATATACAAAGTGATATTGGAATTAAGCAAAATAAAATACATATGTAAGATGGATGAATACCTATATCATGAATATATGAGTATTGTATTATGAATACTGGAAAATGATGCCTTAGTAGAATAAATTGCTTCAAATATGATAATGTATGGTAAATAAACGTGTTTAGAAACAAAAAAAAAATTAAGAAAATTAATTATTAAATTTTTAAAACAACGGTGATAGGCATGTTTTTTAGAACATGGTGAAAGAAAAAGAAAGAGATGGAAAGTTGGTGTATTTTGATAACTTGCTAATTAATTCTTTGTTTTTGAATTTTTGTAACTGATAAGACTTTTAACCAATTGTTTCTCTTTTTAATATTTTTACTAAATATTGAAAGTAATGACAATGAATCCTATTAAATGTTAATATATTGATATTTTAAAAAATTTCCTTTTTTTAAAATTGTTTGGATAGTAGAAAAGAGATTCTATCTAAGATTATGGTGTGTTAATGTGTAATGATGTATTTTCATATCGTGATGACAAAATTAAAAATAAAAGTTTTAATATTCATTTTTTATTCTAAAATAAAAAGAATATTAAAAATAAAAGTTTTAATATTTATTTTTTATTTTCACTTTCTCAACTATACTTACTTGTCCATGTAAGTAATTAGGGAGATAATATTTTAAATTTTAAATAATTAAGAGAAAGACTCGTAAACAAGCATACAATTAAAAATTTAATAATAATATGAGAGCTCATTTTATCATTTTCTCCTTACTTTGAGTCAATTAAGAAAAATGGAGGAAGGTGAGAGAAATGGATGATATATAAATGTTAGACTTATTTGTACACTCACTATTCCAAAAAAGATAAGAGATTCAAGAGAGTTACCTTTTGAAACATCTAATTAAACGTGTTTTGTACTTCCCTGGTCCCTCTTTCTTTAATTACTTGCTTGTTTTTTATAGGCATATTTATTATTAAGAAAATAATAATTGATATAGTGAATTTACTTATTTAATTATAAAATTAATAAATTAAAAAGTTTAAAATTTTTAAAAAATATTATATATTCTTCAAAGTTATAAATTAAGGATATAAAAGATAATTTTTTTTTGTCATTTCTTAATTTGTTAAAATAGACAAATAATTAAATATAATAAAAAAAATAATTAGAAACCGATAGTAATAGTCATAACTAATATATGTATGCAAAGATAAAATGTGGAAAAGAATAATTGGGTAATTATATTTTTTCAAAATGACAAAGGTAGTACTCATTATTAATGTGTTGATAGTGTTCAATCAGGGGCATTTAAGGAAAACAAAAATATGGGGATTGGGTATCATGTTCGTCGTATCCCTCCATCTTTTGTATTTTTCATCATTCAATCAACAACAGTTGCTGAATCTTCTTCATCCATTCTGTATTCTCTTCTCTTTAATTGCATAAATATCAAATGACTCATTCTCTAACTTTAGCTTCTACAGCTCTAATTCGATACGGCATTGGTCCAAAAATTGGGGCTTTACCTAGGGCAAATATGCCATCGAGATCATCTTCAAGGTTATTCAGAATTCAAGCTGTGCAAGATAATGGGGGAGGGCCTCGGAGGCTAATAGATATTATTCGCAATGTTCCTGAGGTTTCGAGAAATTATTTCAAAACTCCTTCACGGAGGGCACTCTTTGGAGGTATATCATTACTGGGTGGATTTTATGTGGCCCAGACAATTTCTCTATCTTTTGGAGCTTTAGGAGTGAATGATGTGATTGCTGCTGTAGTGTGTGTCTTAATTACTGAATATGTGACGCGATTCTACTACACTCGACCTAAGGTGACTTTTCCGATTGCTCTTTTGAACAACTTCAAGATGGGTTTTACCTATGGTCTGTTCATTGATGCCTTCAAACTTGCCAGCTGAATTGATTGCCACACTTTTGTAGCAGTAAGTAATTTTTGCGTGCAGTTTCCCCCTTTTGGGCTGTATTTGTGGATATACAAGTCATAGAAATAGCGAAGTTCTTATTTCAACTGTGTTGATGTTGTCTCATCTTTCAGAAAATTGATGTGAGAGTTACTCATTTCTTGTGTCTTGAAATCTTATAATCACCTCGGTTTGCTTACTGTGCTTTGGGAGTTGGTGGAAGTTAAAGCATTTTACTCAGTACAAGTTCAAGAAGTAAAAAGTTCGTTTTTTACCCCTACCTTGAGCTACCACTTGCGAGAGTGCTTACCATTTGAGCAACCACTCTTTCCAAAAAGTAAAAAGTGATGCCAAAATGAAGGTAAATCTTCTTTGAGATATACAAGATGAGCTCTAAAGAGCATCTCTTTTATAGAGAATTGGGTAAAAATTGAAGCAGTAGAATCTTGGAGAGCCTTTAATAGGATTTAATTTTTCTGTCCCAAGAAATGTGAAGAAGGTTAAAATGCCTTCACTACCTGCCACTAATGAAGTGAATTCTAAAATGCCCTGATGGGTTATTTGTAATCCAATTACTATGAAAATAACTATAGAATAACATACTTTTCTTTTTGACAATCAGCATCCATTAAGAAAAAAGATTTTAGGAATAAAGTCACAGAGCCGGGTCTTGAACTTTGATGTCTGAATATCATTTGACTAAAGTTTTAAGTATACTGGATCGTATATAGGGGGGTCCGGCAAGATTTTGCCAAACTTGTGATCTTTCTCAGAGTGTACTGTGTTGTTCAAAGAAATTTTTACAATAAATGGTGAAGATGATCATTCCTGAAGTCAATCAGACTATTTGAATATGGTTGTTTTCTTCTATGGTTGTTTCTTGAGACATCTATGAATCTTCACCGTATGAAAAGTAGTTTTCTTCTATGGTTGTTTCTTGAGACATCTATGAATATTGCAGCCTTGGAGTTCCGAATAACTGGACTAAAGAACTTTTCAATAAGTTGATGATAAACTTGCATCTAGAAGATCGTTGAGATTACAAAGTCTTAATGGTACACTTAAAGTTAAACTATTTGAATCCAAGTAAAACTTTTCTCAGAGAAAATTCAATTTCCAAGCATCCGGGGATTGGACCAAGTATTTGATCTCTTCTCAATACAGTTCACCCTGATTTTGCTACAGACAGAAACTATTAGATGGAGAGTGAAGCTTTGTATTAGTTATGGGATTAATGGAAAGATATCCCTGGGTTTTAGTCATGAGATAAGTGCAGATATTACAAATATACTGGACCACAAAGAGAGTAAAGCTTTTGTATTTGTAGTGTGTGATTATGGTAACTGTCATGCTGTCTTTGTCAGTGAATGGGAACTATTGAAAATTGAAATAAGAAACTTTCCAGCTGTTAAGGAGTCTATATTGGATGAATTAAGAAAGTAAGAAACCTAAGCCAAAGCCAAATGATGTGGAAATGAAGTTGAAATTGTTTCTGAATTCTTATGTATGTTCATTGACTGCTATTTGGTGTTTCAGGCAATGTTGTATTTTTGCCTGAAGTCATTGGATTTGAGTTGCAAAGTTTTATTGATTGAGCGGGTGATCTAAGTTGTTGGAAAAGGACTTTTCGGTCTTTTAGTTTTTTGTCATTCGCCAATTAGAACCCACATTCAACATTTGGGGTTTAAGTCTCAATCCCAATTGTGACCTGTGAGAGTGAAAAATATGGATTGCATTTGTGCTTCAATCTACAGACGAGCTGTTCATTGTAAAAACTTTGTTCGACTTGGTAACTGAAAGAGCCTAAGCTTGTGGTTCAACATTTTACTGCTCTTCATAGATCATTGAAGCTTCTATCTCAATAATAATTCTTGATCACCAATATTTTACTTTTGTACACATCTTATATATCAAAAGTTTTACATAAACATACTCAAACTTGAAACATGCACAAGAGGACGGCACAAGAAATAGGAGAAGTACGAATCTCAGACCAAATGTTTGTTGGCAATTCAATTGATGTCACCCAAATTTGCCAACAACAGGCATAAAAGGTGGCAATACCTGTACAAAAATTTGAATGGCGTCAAACTTGAGTTGGCAGCCATTGCAGATAAAAACTCATAGCACACACAAAAATACACTAATTGTGATGGATACATGAGTTGTTTGCTTCACTTTTCAACATTCATCATAATTTCCAAATGTTGTTCCTCATGAATTCTTGATTTATTTTACTCGCTAATGAAGTTTCCTTGATTTAATTATTATTATTATTTTTATTATTAGTATTTGCATGGAAAAACCCATTTCTACACGGTATAGACAAGACAGTAATCTTTTTATTTCCGAAATGGGAAATAATTTCTCTATATGACATTAGAATGTTTTAAAAAGTTGGATACCTACCGTCGCATAAACCTTATTACATCATCTGCATAGAAATTCATCCTTGATCTTCTTGATATTTGCCAGGACATCTTTCATATTGAGCCTCTCATTAGGAGATTCAGCTGTGCAATTCAATGCCAACTCCAAAATAGAGGTCAGACAACTCAACTTTTTATCAAAATCAATCTCTTCAGGTTGCAATAAGGTGTCATCAATAATATCAGCTGGTGCTACAGGTAGTGAATTACAGACCCAACTCCTCATGTTCAAATTTTCTTGAAACATTTCATCGTATGGCCTTTTCCTTGTGAAAGTTTCCATGAGCATAATGCCGTAACTGTACACATCACATCTTCTAGAAACTAATCCAACTGATCCATACTCTGATTCAGTATTACCAGAGTAATTAGTTTCTTGATGAGCCAGATAAAGAAATGAAAATATTTTACATATATATGTGTGTGTATATATATATTTTCTATATATTGAAAATAGTTGAATCTACCTCGAGTAGAGAAGAACTTTAAAAACTGAAAGGTATAATGGAATTGAAACAAGTGTAAGGAAATCAATTGAAATGATATGGACTTCTAGTAGATTAAAGATGATATTAGAAAGATCCAATCTATGAGTTCACTTGGCTGTTTCACTTCCACGCATACCTTAAGAGAAGGCACTCCTGCTACATGCTTGCTGAATTGGCTGAATAGTGCAAAATGATTACCTTCTTCACTGAGGCTATAGATCTTCCATTTAAGATTATATCCACGTTGAAGAAGATATATGTAGTTGGCAAGCCTAATCTCTGCTTGGTCTAATAAAATCTTAGTATTTAGATATCTTTTTGTATGCTTAATTGATGTGGGCAACCCTTTTTCCCCCTTTCTTCTTTTCCTCATACCTATTATAGTAAATTTGTATTGCTGAATGCTGAGGTCAGACATAGTCCCCCTCTATGACCTTTGGCTTATCTATTGAATCTCCTTTTTACGTAACTTTTGATTAATTTTTTTTTTTGAAATGATACTACCACATGTTTCTTTTTCTTTATCACCATAGATGCATAAATATAGAGTTTGACATAAGTCATATTTCGATGTTTTCTTTCTATATCATTTTCGTTCATGCTTAATCTGTGATTTGTTACATCTTTAATTAAGCTATTCACTCAGGCTTCCACCCAGTTTTAGTGTGATGTAATAGTAAACTAATTACTAAGTATTATTGGATGTAAAACAACACATCATATGCGATAGCTAAGTACTAAAAGAAAGTTACCTGGTGCAATGTAGCCCATTGTGGCAAGTGTTTTAGTATGAGCAATTGATTCCCCTTCTCCTAATAACTTGGCAAGGCCGAAGTCACTCAAGTGTCCAACCAACTTCTCATCTAGCAAGACGTTGCTAGGTTTCAGGTCACTATGTACAACAACTGTTTCATAACCATGGTGGAGATATCCCAGAGCAAATGCAACATCAATCATTATGTCTAATCTTTGGATCATATTCAAGAAGTGATCATCAGAATGTAACCACAGCTCTAGGCTTCCATTCGGCATATACTCAAGAAGTAGTGCTTTGAAATCCAAGTTAGTACAACTGCTGATTACTTTGGTAAGATTTCTATGCCGAAGGTTGCGTAGAACTTCACATTCAGCATCAAAACTCTTTAATGCACCTTCAACCTGTAAATTAAACACTTTGACTGCCAAAGTCATCCCATTTTCAAACACGGCCCTGTAAACAGAGCCAAAACCTCCAGAGCCTAGCAAGTTGCATTGATCAAACCCTTGAGTTGCCCTTTCAATTTCAATGTAAGAAATCCTGGCTAGTGTGGTTGCAGCAAAGGATTCAGCTTGATTTGGAATATTTCTATTCCGACGTCTCCTTAACATAAACACACCGATTGAGCCAAGTACCATTACCGCAGCTCCCAGTGAGACAAGTATAATCAGAAGCAGTTTGCTTCTCCTTGAATGATGAAAAGTCCTAGTCACACAAGGTTGGAAAAGCAAACCGCCGCATAACCCTCCATTTCCCATAAAGGATTGAGAGGTGAAATTGAGAAAAGGTCCTTTACTTGGGATTTCACCTTCTAATCTATTGAATGATACATTGAAATTCTTCAGATAGCGAAGCAACTCTAATGCTTTTGGAATGGTACCTGAAAGAATGTTATTGGATAGATTCGCTGATTCCAAACTTATCATTTTCCCAAGTGACTCTGGAATAGATCCTTGTAACTCATTATAAGCCAAGGAAAGATAAATTAGGGTCTGCAAGTCTCCGATTGTGGAGGGAATACTTCCTGAAAGTTGATTCCTTGACAGATTTATGGACGTTATGGCTTTCAAGTTTCCTAATTCTGGAGGTATAGAACCAATCAAAGTATTATTTGACAAGTTAAGCACCAAAAGATCTTTGAGGCTCCATAGACTCGTGGGTATGTTAGTAAGCCTATTTGAAGATAGATAAACATTTCTTAAAGATGTTGCATTACCAATGCAAGATGGTATCGGACCAGAAATCCGATTATGGTACAAAGAAAGCAAGCCCAACACTGACATTTTGCAAAGGCACTCGGGCAAGGATCCACTCAACCTATTAACAGCAAGTCCTAGCCTTTGAAGAATGTGTAAATCACATAATGTTGTTGGCATTGATCCAGTCAAGTCATTGCCGGATAAAAACAAAGTGTTTAAGTTACTTAAATTACCAATTCCTAATGGTATCTGACCCCTAATTTCAGTACGATATATATCAAATATTTCAATAGAACTGGAGAGATTGCCAATGGTATCTGGAAGAACACCATTCAGAGGATTATCTCCTAATATTACTTCTTTCAAATATCTGCAGTTCACCAATGAAGTCAAGATACTTAGGTGCGGAGACGATAAGTTATTAACGAACAAGTCCAAATATTCAAGATTCCTCAAATCCCCCAACGAATTAGGAATTTGGCCACTGAATTTGTTTATACTAAGATCTACGATCTGTAGATATGATGAATTTGAGATTGAAGTGGGTATAACTCCACCAATGTTATTTTGACCAAGATTCAAAAGCTCTAGATTTGTTTGCCAGTACCCTGAAGCATATGGAAGACTACCGGAAAGTTTATTGAAGAAAACTGAAACCTCTATTAGTGTAGAGATATTGAAGAGCCCTTCCGGTATGGAACCACTTAACTTATTAATTTGCAAATAAAGTATCTCCAATTTGTGTAGATTTACAATCTATCTGGGTATAATACCTGCCACATGATTGAGTATATCTAAATTACTTGTGCCCATCAATATAATTATATCAACCATTAATTCCATGCCTAGTACTAGCCCTGATAACAAACAAGATCACCAAGTTACCTGATAAACTATTTGTGTTCAAATTAAGCATCCATAGTGATGACAAGTTGGATATGGTGTGCGGTATCGAACCCACCATGTAATTGTTCTCCAATTGTAGTTGCTGCAACTTTCGTAAATTACCAATATTTGCTGGAATTGTGCCTGCAAATTATATTTTGACAAACTTTTATGAGGTGTCAAATATTCTCAATTAGCATACTTTGATTTTTAATTTTTTATAATCTTAGTAAAGAGTTATTAGTTCTATTTATATCTTGTGAGCTTACATATGCAAAGTTCAGATTGAGAAATTTAAGTCTGAAGAATTAATGCACCTCGCAATTTATTTCCCCCAAGGTTTAAGAACTGAAGCCTCTCCAAGTTGACAATTTCTGGTGGAATAGTCCCATTGAAGCTATTGTATGACAGCGACAATTCATACAATTCTGTGCAGTTAGACAAACCAGGTGGAATGTGACCACTCAAATGATTGGAAATAATTCCAATGCTCTTTATTCTATGAAGACGGTGGCATATATCTACAGGAAGACTCCCAGTTAATTGGTTATTTGATAGACCTAAAATTTCCAACGACGACATATTGAAAATGGAGAGCGGGATAGTGCCTGTAAATTGGTTTCCAAATAATATCAACTCCTTTAGATTCTTAAGATTCCCAATCTCCTTGGGGATATTGCCTTGAAGCCTGTTGTTTCTAACACTCAGAGTTTCTAACTTGGAAATAGAAGAAGAATTGGAACCGAACCACATTGGAATCTCTCCGCTGAAATTATTGAAGGCAAAATCCATCACCTTCAATCTACGTAAACGAGACAAATCTTGTGGGAGGTCTCCATGTAAATTGTTTTGGCTCACATCAAGAGAAACTAGGAAAGAGAGGTTCCCCAATTGCGGGGCAATGTTTCCAAGAATGTTCATGTTGGATATATTTAGTGCAGTCACCCTATGGTGACGAGAGCCGCAAGTGACTCCAATCCAATCACAAATGGAGGACTGAGAAGACCAATTCTGAGTTAAGGGATGAGAAGAGTTTAGGGTAAAACTGGCTTTTAAGGCAAGTAGAGCTGATTCATCTGTATGAACTGCATCGCTGCGTACTGTCTCTAACAAGTAGAGGTGTAAGAGTAGTAGTAGTGATGAAATAAAGAAATTAGAGTAGGCTTTCTCCATGTCAATGAGATTGCTAGTACAAGGAACAAAGTATTCACCAAAGAAATGGGTAACTTAATCAAAGCAATTCCGTAGGTTAAGGGTTGTAAATTTTCCACAGTGACTTGACTTTATAACTAAAGTCTTTAGTGTCATATCAAAGAGTAGTGCATGGATGATTGATTAGTGGTTATAAATTCTCCAGATACTCTGATTTTACTAGGTCTTCTCAAAGTTTTTTCCAAAAAAACATTTAAATTCTCAAGGAGGGCCAAGCATTGCCGTAGATAAGGGGTTGTAAATTTCCAGAGTCTTAACTGTCAAGACAATTCAACGTCAATAAAGTCTGCCCCAAAAAGGACGTTAGCTTTAAAAGCTAGCTCATATAAGAGGATTGTTTAAATACATATAAATACTCAATTGGAGAATGAATCGAGTGTCCAACTGGAAATGAACTGGCTCTGGTACCAAGTAAAAATATGACACCTACTTCTAACTCAATAACAAAAAATAGCTCATGGGAAAGGATTGCGCAAGCTCATATAAACATGGGTGGCTCGACAGTGTTAAAAAAAGACATGTGTCTTAGGCATTCAAATTTAAGGGGCTTCATTTTTTAAAATAATAGCTTATAGGTTATTATTTTTTTTTTAACAAATATTGAATACTATTTGCAGAAAAACTAAACTTTTCATAAAAAAAAATGAAGGAATTATTAAAAGAAATTTGACATATTTGGAATACTGTATCTCATGAAAACTAATTAAAAATAGAAATGGTTATATTATCAATTGAAAACATGAAGAAACCAATAATATAAAAGTTATTAACAATCAAATTTAAGATCCCATTTGATTTTTGCTTTAGGCTACTAATATAATATGTTTGAACTGCTACTGCATATAAAGCAAACCATCGTCCATTCCTCAACCATCCACTCTAACAATTTTTCATTTTTAATTTTCCATGAAATTTTGAGAGATATTAGACTTTGTTCAAAATCAGTAACTCAATTTATTTTGGACTGAGTTTATGAAGAAGGGATGACAGTCATTACTATAAAAGTACTTTCTTAGTTCATTATGTTTTCACTTATTTTCCTTCTTAGTCCAATGTCCTCTCTTTTTTTTCGCAATTTTCAAATTTTATTTTTTCATGAAAATATTTAATATCACCAGATTAACGGTATTTTGATACATTTGACAGGATTTCCAAGTTGAAAAAGGGTGAAATTTGTCCTGGACGTCCGTTAGGACCTTGGCTATGCAGATGTTTAATTTTAGAGCATAAGATGAGAGATCTTAGGATTTTTTTTAGACGGTAGGGCATACACATTCCTCATGAAGTAAGAATGTAAATAATGGAAATTTTCAATGAAAAATATAATTCCTATATTTAAAAAAATATCACCTACTTTTCTTTTTAGTCTGTTTTTCAAAAAAGACTATTCTTTTTTTTTACAACACTTTAATTTCAAATCACGCGACATATATAAGGCCACAAGATTAAAAGAAATGTTGGTGCATCTGACATATCTTAATTTAAGACCACCAGATTGAAACGTCTTCTTTATTATTTTCTTAAACTCTATGTCAAATCAAACTAGGTCATTTTTTTTAAAATGGAGGGAGTAATACAAAATTAGAATAATAAAATCAGACTTAAGATTTTGAGAAGTTAATATAATGATATTGAAGTAGTGTTGATGTGCTTGAAATTTGAAGAGGACACCCAAAGGTTTTAATCTTTTTGTAAGTAAACTACAATAGATTGTGCAAAATACAAATAGTTTGACCGTCTAGGAGACTTCATAATACTTAATAAAAAATAATAAAAATAATAAAGTGAGTGAATAAGGTAAATATATTAGTAATTAATTATGTGGGTTCATGCTAGTAGTACGGATGTAAATCTATCTATATATATAATAAAGTAGAAATATTGACAAGATGACACGACATCTCTGTATGAGCTCCATTTGTATTTATTTTTTTCTCTTTTTTATGATGCTTTTTATTACTTATGGAGGAATATTTATGACAAAAATTCTTCACAAATCTTTTTTTATTTGTTTGCCCCACTTCTAACCATAAAATTATAATATTTATTTTATATTTTTAATATTTTTATCTTTATTATTTAATTTATTCACAAAGAGTTATTAACCATGACTTAAACTCTTTAATTTTTACTATAAGCATTCAGAACTTTTTACTATAATAGCATTCAGAACTCGCATAACTTTTATATCCATAACCTTCAAATTTTAACTTGCAAGTTTAACGTGTCTTATGATATTTCTTTATTTTGCCCATAAATTCATATTTAGTTTCATGAAGATTTACATTCAAGATTATATATTCTCTTCTTCATCATATTGATTTGTAAATGAACTAACAAGTAACAAAAAAAAGTACACGAAGATAAGAAGTATTTCATTTCATTCTCAAGCCTTTATTTTTTAATTTCCTCTATTTTGCCTTATATAAATTCACATTTAGTTTCTGAAGATTCACACAAGATTAATATTTTTCTTCTTTTATCATATTATTTTGTGAATTAAATAACATATAACAAAAAAAAAGTACATGAATATAAGATATTTTATTCTCAAGTTTTTCTTTTTATTTTTATTTACTTGGAAATGCTTTCTTTATATTTTAATTTATTTATGTATATATTATCATTCACCAAATAAGTACGATTAAAAAACATTTTTAATAATGAATAATGTGTTGACAATATAAAATGGTTTTTCTATAATCAGTTTTTGGGGATATAATGTATTTTGATTATGATATTTTTTAGATTTCAAAAGATGATTATTATTTAGTATTGTTAGTACTTCTGAAAAATTAATATACGAATGTATTACATATAGTTTAAATTTCTTCTTTCTGTTGATTGATTATTTTTTAATTGCTATAAGATATTTTATTTATTCATATAATTTTTTATATTACATTTGATAATATATAATGAAGACTTTGACATATGAAATAAATTATTGTGGCGAATTTACTTGCAGGAAAATGGTAAGATGGAAAAAAAGAAGAAGCATAATTCGAAATTATTTTTACTAGATTTTTTTAAAACTTTGACTTGTATTAGTTACTTAGCCTTTTTTGATAAAAAAAAAAATTAAATTCTGATTTATATAAATAATATAGCTACATGTATTTTCAATACTTATCATTTGGTCTTTTAGTATTTTATTTTTTTAATATGAAGCACAATTAATATGATTATCTCATTTAAGCAACAAAAAAAAAATATGATGATTAGGAGTTTCATTTTTATTATACTTAAAAAAATTAATTGAAAAATACAATATTAATTTTATGATGCCATTTTTTTTTTGTATGTAACAACACTCTTCTTTCGTCGCTATTATGTTTTATTTGAAATTTATTTATAATATTTAATGTAGTCACTAATTATTATATTGTTTTGTTTACTTTTTTATTAATATAACCTTATTTTTATTTATTTATTTTACAAATAAAATCAATGCATAATTATTAATGCACAATGTCTAATAAAATTATACATTTAAATTATTTACAACTCATATTTCTTCATCTTACTTGGACTTCTAATCTTAAATATTATTAATGACTTTTGTATGTTTTATTTTGGGAAAATTACACGGATAGACAAACTTATACTATTTAATTACTCATCATAGTTATAGTTTGCTATAATTAACACTCTCGACTAACATTATACATTAATTACGTGGGCTGACTTCGAGTTTGTGTAATTAGTTATGTTTGTATATGTATAATTCGCCAGAATATACAAATAAATATGTATAATATACAAATTTTTAACCTATATACATATACAATTCATCTCTCTCCCACTCTCTGCCCTCTCTCGCTCGCCTCTCTTCTCCCTCTCTCAATCTCGCTCAACTCTCTCCTCCCTCTCTCTATCTCACTTGCCATTTATACAAATGTATATGTATAATATACAATTATATAATTATATACATATAGAATTCACCTCTCTCCCATTCTCTGCCCTCTCTCCTCTCTCTCTCGATCTCGCTCGCCTCTCTCCTCTCTCTCCCAGTCTCGCTCACTTCTCTCCTCCCTCTCCCAATCTTTCTTGCCATATATTCAATTACATATGTATAATTAAAAAATTATCTAACCAATATACATATACAATTCATCTTTCTCCCACTTTTTTCCCCTTCTCTCTCGCCTTTCTCCTCTCTTTCCCAGTCTCGCCTGCCTCTCTCCTTCAAATAACATGTAGCTACAATTTGTAATTATCAAATTATAACTATGAAGAGTAATTAATTATTTTTAAGTGGCTATATGTGAAAGTTTTCCTTTTATTTTTCATAATTCTTGTAAATATTTAATAGTTTTTAAAAAATTATAAGTAATAAACAAATGTAATTCAATGACACAATAACAAATTCAAAAGTTTTTTTCACGAAATCAGAATTTGTATAGAAATTAGTACTCCTACAATCACCTAAAAATTATTACATTTCTCAAATATTTCAACGATCACCATATTAAATAAGATGAAAAAGTTATTATATTTTCTACGTACCCAGAGATTTCTTTTCAAATTTAACTATATGTATTATTCAATATTTAAATGATACACTTTAAATCTTGGTTTATTATCCAAAGAATTAAAATGATTTAATTAGTGTACAACTAATTCATCCCGCTAGTTTTTGTAAAAACGAAACTAAATTTTCTTATTAATAATAAATAATGATCACTTTAAGAATGCCATTAACTCTTTGTCATTACTTTCATTATGTACTCTATTTGAACTCATATACTTATTGTTTGACTGATCAAAGGACATGAAAAATCTGGTGTTCTTATATGCATGTCATTTATAAGTTTCATGTATTGAGATTTATTTATCCTTTCCATTAGATATAACATCAAAAACAGTATAAAGTTTGCTTAAATGATTTGATTTGTTAGGATACATATGAAAGGTAGGATGAACATTTGGATTATACAACTTGCATATATGAGTTAATATTTTCTATGGTCACTCGGCTAACAACTTTTTTTTTCATAATATTACTCCATCCATTTAAAAAAGAATGACCTATCTCATTTTCTTTTTAGTTAACATTTTAATTTCAGTTTTCCACATGAAATGTTTAATGCCACAAGAATAGAGGGCAATTTTGTATATTTTTTATCTAACTTTAGTTTAGGGCCATAAAATTCAAAAGTCTTTTATATTCTTAAACTCTGTGTCAAGTCAAACTAGGTAATTCTTTGTAAAATGGAGGGAACAATATCTATGTATTTTAAAAATTGTGCCCAATTGTGGCAATGGTGTGTCGAAAAACTGGTATGTGTATATATATATACACTAGTTTCTGGGTAGGCGCCACGCGCGTGTGGCCATACAAATAAAAATATTTTTGTGAAGATCGTATATTAACAATATTTTAAAGTTATATTATGTGTTATAAAATAGAGAATACAAATTACATGTTCTTAAAATTGATAAGTATCCTATTTGGTGTTTTTGTTTCTAAGATCCAAAATCCAAAAAACTATACAACTACAATATTTAAATGTTATGTGCTTTGTTAATGAAATATGTGTAAAATCAGTAACATATAGAAATATTTTACCGTAAAATTAATGTTGTGCGTTGCACATATTAAGCCCTAGCAAGGAAAT